CAAAAAAATGTCTGCAGCATTGAATGTCCCCAAGAGCACAGTGACCACCATCATTCTTAAATGGAAGAAGTTATGAACCACCAAGACTCTTCCTATGGCTGGCCGCCCGGCCAAACTGAGCAGTCGGGGGAGAAGGGCCTTGGTCAGGGAGGTGACCAACAACCCGATGGTTACTCTGACAGAGCTCTAGAGTTCCTCTGTGGAAATGGGTGAACCATCCAGAAGGACAACCATCTCTGCAGCACTCCACCAATCAGGCCTTTATGGTAGAGTGGCCAGACAGAAGCCACTCCTCAGTAAAAGGCACATGACAGCCCGCTTGGAGTTTGCCAAAAGGCACCTAAAGACTCTCAGACCATGAGAAACAAGATTCTCTGGTCTGATGAAACCAAGATTGAACTCTTTGGCCTGAATGCCAAGCGTCACGTCTGGAGGAAACCTGGCACCATCCCTACGGTGAAGCATGGTGGTGGCAGCATCATGCTGTGGGGGTATTTTTCAGCGGCAGGGACTGGGAGACTAGTCAGGATCGAGGCAAAGAGGGATGGAGCAAAGTGTACAGAGAGATCCTTAATAAAAACCTGCTCCAGAGCGCTCAGGACCTCAGACTGGGGCGGAGTTTCACCTTCCAACAGGACAACGACCCTAAGCACACAGCCAAGACAACGCAGGAGTGGCTGTCCCTGAATGTCCTTGAGTGGCCCAGCCAGAGGCCGGACTTTAACCCGATTGAACATTTCTGGAGAGACCTGAAAATAGCTGTGCAGCAATGCTCCCCATCCAACCTGACATTGCTTGAGAGGATCTGCAGAGAAGAATGGGAGAAACTCCCCAAGCTTGTAGCGTGATACCCAAGAAGACTCGAGGCTGTAATCGCTGCCAAAGGTGCTTCAACAAAGTACTGAGTAAAAGTGCTTTGTTTAATTTAATATTTCTAAAAACCTGTTTTTGCTTTGTCGTTATGGTGTATTGTGTGTAGATTGAGGGGAGAAAAAAACAATTTAATCAATTTTAGAATAAGGCTGTAACGTACCAAAATGTGGAAAAAGTCAAGGGGTCTGAATACTTTCCGAAGGCACTGTATCATTCACATCAATCCCTCACCAAAAGGCATACTAATTTCCAATGGAAAAACAAAATAAAAGTCCAATGTTTGGGGCCAAAAGATCTGCATATGATCAATTGTCTACAAGACGCATTCATAACCTCCTGAAGGTTATTTAGCTTTTGAAAGCAGCAGCGTTTTCACGCCAAACATGCAATTTACATGCAAATATGCTCTGACAAAGATGTACGAGCCACAGCTGAGCAAAATGAGAGTGAACACGAGAGGGAGAGAAAGTGGAGGAAAATGGATAGGAGATTGCATATTAGGCTTTTTGGCTCTGGCCTACGAGGCCAACCCTCATTGCATCCTTCACCACCAAATCCTCCATTTGGAATGCTTTCCCTTTTTAAGGTTCAATCTGAAATTAGATTTTGAGCCCAACGGCAGCCCTGCAACCTCATTTGCTATAAAGCTGAGGGATGGGTCTAGTACGGCAGTGTTTCCCAACGACGGTCCTCGAGTACCCCCACCAGCACACGCTTTTGTTGTAGCCCCAGACAAAAACACCTGATTCAACTTGTCAAGGGTTTTGATGATTAGTTGAGAAGTAGAATCAGGTGTGCTTGTCCTGAGGCCACAACAAAAATATGTACTTGAGGACTGGAGTTGGGGGAAACACTGTAGTAGGGAAATGTCAAAACTCTTAAATTCATAGATGGAGCTTTTGATGCATGGTTTGGTTGCATGTGAGAGAGGGAGCCAAAGCCCATCAGTGTTTGATCGTCCTCCATCCTCCTCTCATCCCCCCCATCCACAGCTTAGATTAACCTTAATGTGAGTGTGTTCATTAGGCATCAAATGGAAGAAAATGCACTGAAACCCTAATCTGTTTAGTTGCATAGTGTTTTAAAATGTTTTCCGTTGCACGCCCTAATCAACACAACCCTATAATATAGTTATTTTTATTAAGGCGTATACAGATGTTGTGGTAGGGGGAGGAGGAGTATACAGTAGCCTTTCATCCCCAGTACCCTACTGCTTCCCGGCGCTGGGAAAAGAGCTTCCTCCACACTGCCATTCCCCAAATTATGGAATAGGCTTTATCCGGTGGGGATGAGAGAGGGAGAGATTGTGTGTGTGTGTGGGCTCGAACAGCTAGTTCTTGTGCATTAGCCAAGGGGCAACTTCTGCCCTGATGCTTTCTTACTGAGGGAGAGAATGGTGGTGATTTACAATGTCAATAAGCAATACTTGTCCTTGATACAGTGAAGGGAAATCTTAACGCTACAGCATACAATGACATTCTAGACGATTCTGTGCTTCAACTTTGTGGCAACAGTTTGGGGTAGGCCCTTTCCTGTTTCAGCATGACAATGCCCCCGTGCACAAAGCGAGGCCCATACAAATATGATTTGTCGATCGGTGTGGAAGAACTTGACTGGCCTGCACAGCCCTGACCTCAACCCCATCGAGCACCTTTGGGTTGAATTGGAACCTTGACTGCGAGCCAGGCCTAATCGCCTAACATCATTGCCCGACCTCACTAATGCTCTTGTGGCTGAATGGAAGCAAGACCCGCAGCAATGTTCCCAGAAGAGTGGAGACTGTTATAGCAGCAAAGGGGGGACCAACTCCATATTAATGGCCATAATTTTGGAATGAGATGTTCGACGAGCAGGTGTCCATATACTTTTGGTCATGTAGTGGATCTTAACGGGAAGAAAAAAAAAAAATATCCATATCTACTCTCGTGCGGTTTGTTGATCACACATTCTGTACCGAAGCGCTCATATGGGCAGCAATACGAGACAGCGCAGAGAAGGGGGGGAAATGTTATAGCGGTATTTTTTACATGCATCGGCGAGACGTGCTTTGATAATGCAACCTATGGATTACAGAATAAAGTTAATTTTCATGCAAGTCAGGATTTTGGGTTTCAGTGGAATTGGGACAATAGAAAAATACCCTAGGCTCTATATAAGGCTACTATGTGAGTCTGGATTGAGGCTACATTATAGCATGCTAAATGTTTCTGATCAGTGATAGATGAGCAAATGAATAAATTAGCTACCACTTCCACTTGTCCAGCCAGAGATCAGTTAACTAAACATACAGACAGATTCAGTGAAAAAAAATCGTCACAGGCTTTTGGTCGGAAGTAGGACATGCTACTACGCGAGTGAAGAGCAAAATCCACTTGTATGATATGCTAGCAAAATGTTCTAATCAGCTAATATATGATCAAACTAAAATAAAGATGATCATGAGCAATGTTCCCTAAAAATAAATTTGGCACTGAGCAAATTTCAGGTCTGCTGAGCGCAAACTTGAACGTTGTGAAAATTCTCTGCAACTTCCACTGTGAACACTGCGGCTGTACCCACTTTAAGTTACAATTGTAACAGTGGCCAAGTAGGCTACTGTGGCTATTTGATCATAATGTAGGCCTACCAGAGTGGCCTAGCGTCAAAACAATGGAGAAAATGTATTAACATGGAAATAGCTGTTCTATCATTCAGCCTACAATAGCAGCCATTTTCTGGTGTTCAATGTAGGCCTACATTCCATGAGAGGGCTTGATATTAACCTGTTTATCCACTTGTCCTTCAGATAAGGAGGTGACTGAACATGTTTTAGTGTTTGATGCAAGAAACCACTTTACAAAATAAAATGTATTATTATTTCCTTACCATGATTATAGAGAATCAGACAAATCATGATACCCTCTGCCTATTGGCTACTTGGCTTATTCAAGCCTGTCTCAAAATACAACACTGCCCCTTTAAGACGAAATTTTTTTATTTACCTGACTCGCTTTTCAAAGAGGTCTAGAAATGTACACGTTTTGTGCTCTTGTAGGAAGCAATCACTCCCTTATTGCTATGGCTGGCTACAAATTATCTATAACTGGGCTAATAACTCACTAACTAGCAAAGGATATGAACAAAATGTGCACACGTGGCTACATGCAGCTTTTGCTTTGATCTCAAAACAAGTGCATCTACTCACAACCACAGTCCAGTTCAAAGTAAATGGCACAGATCCATATATGGTAATGGTCTATTTGCATATAGGCCTACTGCAGCTCTGATTGGTTATGCCGCACAGGTCTGTGTATAGTACAGGCTGAGTCTTGCGCAATAGAATCCTACTCCGATGCCTTCTGCCTACAACAAAATCTCTTGCATAGTTAGTTTTGTTTCAGTATTTTGCATTGAATGTGGCGCCATTGCGTTGATCCGATCACAATTGCCACAGTAAAGGGAAACGTTGATAGTGTTAACTAACAGGGAAAACAATCAATATAGCCTACTGTTTTCTAGAAACCTGGCATTTTTTCGGATTCGGGCTCATTTAATTTCTGTGATGTGGGACCAGGCCTGGGCTTGGGCTTCAGCTCACCGGGCTTGGGTCGGAGTGGGATCGAATTTTCAGTTCTGATGAGAACTCTAAACTGCATTAAGGTCTTTTGTGCACTCTGGCAGTGTCAATTATGCGTGTGCTTTGAATTTCTGTCGACTTTGTGTGAAGTAAATACACTAGGCTAAAGGTTTCCATGCGACAACCTGTTTGGCAAAAAATAAAATGGCAAATATTTCAATCTGCTGCTGCACATGTTGTGTATTTTGTGGAATTGCAGTAGTGCGACATTGGGGGAAATGTGAAGAGTAGTCCTGGGACAGTCCCGGGATCCCGGTTACCCAGGTTTTAATCCCTACTATGGACTGCCACAAAGCTATCCCCATAAATTGGATTCCAGGCTCTCTCGTGGTTCTTTTTCTATTAGCCAGTTTGTTCTTTGGTGCCATACCTGATGTTTAGTAGTGTTAGGGTAGGTCCTTTGTCTGTCCTTTTCATACATTTATGCCATTTACATTTCAGTTTGACTGCTATGTGGGTGAAAATAAACTTGACCATGAACATGACCTGTCCCCCCGCCCCCCTCCCCAGGGTCAGCTCTCCAGACAGTGGTCTTCACTCCTCCTCGGCACCCGGCAGCACGGATCCCTTCGGCGAGGAGCCAGCCCCTAAGTTCTGGGACAAGCTGGGTCAGATCGGCCTCCCCGACGAGATCAACGTCCAGTCCCTGTTTGACCCCACAGGCCAGTGCTGTGCCCACCTGCACTGTGCCGCCTGGTCCGAGGGGGTGTGTCGCGGCGAGGCCCAGGACTCACTGCTTTACGTGGACAAAGCCATAGACTCAGGGAGCACAGAGGTGAGTTGTAACAGACAATCCATTGGGGTGTGGGTGTTAGGATTCAACTGTGTGTGTGTGTACATGCACATGCCCCCGATCTCTTTAAACCAAGTGACCAGCAAATCAGCAACGCTTTCTTTGTGAGCTCTGTATTTGTGTACATTCCCAACAACAAGAGAACGACTGATATGAATTTTTTAGGGCCGATACTGATTTTTGGGGGTCAAGAAGGCCAATGGCCGATTATTATAGGTCAATATTCAATATCATTAAACTTGAAAATGTTTGTAAAAAATTTTTTTTCCCAGAGACAGACTGACGTCAAAAAATGTAACTTTGCTTTTACCAATCTAACTGCATAACATAATGGTCATCATTTTATTTGAATGGTAAACTGGGTAAATTAAGATGGCGTAGGCCTACTCACAATACAGGTGAATGCATATTCCATTAGGAGTGTGTGCCTGCATTGAGTTATTGAGCTTATTTTGGCTGATCAGTGGAGTCTATGACAAACAATCGGTTTGCCTGCTGATCAACAACATTTGCAAAGATTCAGCACTCCAGCATGTCACGCTTTATGGACGGACGTGCTATACTGTAGGCACTGCTGTTAGTTTGAGAATATAAAATAACATACACTGCTCAAAAAAATAAAGGGAACACTTAAACAACACATCCTAGATCTGAATGAATGAAACAATCTTATTAAATACTTTTTTCTTTACATAGTTGAATGTGCTGACAACAAAATCACACAAAAATGATCAATGGAAATCAAATTTATCAACCCATGGAGGTCTGGATTTGGAGTCACACTCAAAATTAAAGTGGAAAACCACACTACAGGCTGATCCAACTTTGATGTAATGTCCTTAAAACAAGTCAAAATGAGGCTCAGTAGTGTGTGTGGCCTCCACGTGCCTGTATGACCTCCCTACAATGCCTGGGCATGCTCCTGATGAGGTGGCGGATGGTCTCCTGAGGGATCTCCTCCCAGACCTGGACTAAAGCATCCGCCAACTCCTTGACAGTCTGTGGTGCAACGTGGCGTTGGTGGATGGAGCGAGACATGATGTCCCAGATGTGCTCAATTGGATTCAGGTCTGGGGAACGGGCGGGCCAGTCCATAGCATCAATGCCTTCCTCTTGCAGGAACTGCTGACACACTCCAGCCACATGAGGTCTAGCATTGTCTTGCATTAGGAGGAACCCAGGGCCAATCGCACCAGCATATGGTCTCACAAGGGGTCTGAGGATCTCATCTCGGTACCGAATGGCAGTCAGGCTACCTCTGGCGAGCACATGGAGGGCTGTGCGGCCCCCCAAAGAAATGCCACCCCACACCATGACTGACCCACCGCCAAACCGGTCATGCTGGAGGATGTTGCAGGCAGCAGAACGTTCTCCACGGCGTCTCCAGACTCTGTCACGTCTGTCACATGTGCTCAGTGTGAACCTGCTTTCATCTGTGAAGAGCACAGGGCGCCAGTGGCGAATTTGCCAATCTTGGTGTTCTCTGGCAAATGCCAAACGTCCTGCACGGTGTTGGGCTGTAAGCACAACCCCCACCTGTGGACGTCAGGCCCTCATACCACCCTCATGGAGTCTGTTTCTGACCGTTTGAGCAGACACATGCACATTTGTGGCCTGCTGGAGGTCATTTTGCAGGGCTCTGGCAGTGCTCCTCCTGCTCCTCCTTGCACAAAGACGGAGGTAGCGGTCCTGCTGCTGGGTTGTTGCCCTCCTACGGCCTCCTCCACGTCTCCTGATGTACTGGCCTGTCTCCTGGTAGCGCCTCCATGCTCTGGACACTATGCTGACAGACACAGCAAACCTTCTTGCCACAGCTCGCATTGATGTGCCATCCTGGATGAGCTGCACTACCTGAGCCACTTGTGTGGGTTGTAGACTCCGTCTCATGCTACCACGAGTGAAAGCATCGCCAGCATTCAAAAGTGACCAAAACATCAGCCAGGAAGCATAGGAACTGAGAAGTGGTCTGTGGTCACCACCTGCAGAACCACTTCTTTATTGGGGGTGTCTTTCTAATTGCCTATAATTTCCACCTGTTGTCTATTCCATTTGCACAACAGCATGTGAAATGTATTGTTAATCAGTGTTGCTTCCTAAGTGGACAGTTTGATTTCACAAAAGTGTGATTGACTTGGAGTTACATTGTGTTGTTTAAGTGTTCCCTTTATTTTTTTGAGCAGTGTTTATCGTATCGGCACTTAAGTACTGTGATAATATCGTATCGTGAGGTCCCTGGCAATTCCCAGCTTCTAGTAGCTGCTGCGATTTATCTCTCAGTAGAACTATCTCATTAACACAATGTAATGTGGGGGGCAGGGGAGGCCACATTATAGGTAATTAAGGGACTCTATTTTAGCTTGTACTTTGCTGTCTTGAAATTGACTGGTGGTTGAGGCAAAATAAAACTCTGAACTAATACAATGACTTCATTGAGGAAGTGGAAATGTTGGACTTGCCCAACTATGATGACTTATTTGGTGGCGAGCACTTTCTTGCTGTTCACTCTGCAGTCTGCATGGTCAGATAGATTTGGTGACAACGATGCTGCTTTCTACAAGCGTTCTACAACTACACTATTAGTTTGTGTATCTTTCTGTCTGCAAACTACTGTCTGCTAGTTTGTCCTTTCATAGCAAGTTTTGGTTAAAATAAATTGTTAGCTGCCAATCGCTTGTTAGCTGGCTAGCTAGCTTGCTTAATGTACTAAGAGTCAGCGCAAACATAGCTAGCTTATACAGCCTGGTACCAGTGCTGGTGTAGGCCTAGATAAGAATGTTTGTGCAACGGTATTTATGAAAATGAGTGAGTGTGAGTGTGTGTGTGCCAGCTCTAGGGGGCCCTGTTAAAGGTTGTCCCTGGCACTACAGCAAGGCTCATTGGGGTGTAAAGCAGAAAAGGTCACGGAGCTCAGGAGACTGCACCTCTGAAGGTTAACACACTGTGACAAACCACACACTTTTATTCGCACATGTGCACTCGATGCACCGACACCCTGCTCTGAAAGTCAAACACAGGCACACGCACACATTGCTGACGCGCGCACTACCCACACACACACTGCTGACGCACAAACTACCCACACTCACGGCATCCTCACCTCCATATCATGTTCGCCGGATTGCATTTACATCCTAAATCAGCAAAACAATTCTAAATTTGCTCTCTGTGTGTGAGCCTGTGTAAAGGAGTGAGCCTGTGTACAGCGCCTTCAGAAAGTATTCATACCCCTTGACTTATTCCACATTTTGTTACAGCCTGAATTCAAAATTGATTAAATATACTTTTATCTCACCCATCTACATACAATACCCCATAATGACGAATTGAAAACATGTTTTTAGAAATTCTTGCAAAGTTTTGAAAATGAAATGGAGATCTCATTTACATACGTATTCTCAACCCTGAGTCAATACTTTGTAGAAGCACCTTTGGCAGCAATTACAGCTGTGAGTCTTTATGGTTTTCAATTTGCCCATTTATTCTTAAAAAAAAAAATCAAGCTCTGTCAAATTGGTTGTTGATCATTGCTAGAAAACCATTTTCAGGCCTTGCCATACATTTTCAAATAGAACATTCACTGTCTTCTTGGTAAGCTACTCCAGTGTAGATTTGTGTTAGGTTATTGTTCTGCTGAAGGTGAAAGCAGACTGAACAAGGTTTTCCTCTAGGATTTTGCCTGTGCTTAGCGCCATTCCGGGGTTTGTTTATATCCTGAAAAACACCCGTCCTTAACGATTACAAGCATACCCATAACATGATGCAGACACCACTATGCTTGAAAATATGGAGAGTGGGACTCAGGAATGTGTTGTACTGGATTCAGGACAAAAAGAGAATTGCTTTGCCACGTTTTGCAGTATTACTTTAGTTCAGGATGCATGTTTTAGAAAAAATGTATTCTGTACAGGCTTCCTCCTTTTCACTCTGTCAATTACGTTAGTATTGTGCAGTGAACTACAATGTTGTTGATCCATCCTCAGTTTTCTCCTACCACAGCCATAGAGGCCCACAGTGGACGTGTCATAATACCCATAAAACCTAGCGGTCAAACGGGGAAATGATTCCAATCGTTTTTCCATCAATCATTCTTTCCGTAAGGGATTTTAGAAACACTTAAATTAAGGGCTGTGTTTCGGGTAGGCTTACCCTGGCGTGACGTTTTGATAACCGTGTAAATCTCTCTCGGACCAGGTGACATTTTTGAATCTGTGTTTGAAATTCACTGCTCGACTGAGGGACCTTACAGGTAATTGTATGTGTGGGGTACAGAGAAGAAGTAGTCATTCAAAAATGATGTCAAACACTATTATTGCACACAGAGTGAGTCCATGCAACTTATTATTTGACTTGTTAAGCACATTTTTACTCCTGAACTTAGAGGCATGTAATAACAAAGGGCTTGAATACTTATTGACTCAATAAATTTTTTGTGTACTTATTGACTCTACGTTTCAACTTTTCAGTTTTAATTCATTTGTAAAAATTTCAAAAAACATAATTCCGTTTTGACATTATGGGATATTGTGCCTAGGCCAGTGACCAAAAAATCTAATTTGAATCTATTTTTAAATTCAGGCTGTAACACAACAAAATGTGGAGAAAGTCAAGGGGTATGAATACTTTCTGAAGGCACTGTATGTGTTAGCCTGTGTGTGTATGTGTGACAGAGAGTCAGCCCATACACTAGTATCTTTGTGTGAGTATCGTATGTATGAGAACGTAGGCCTATCCTATGGATGAATGTGTCTAACTACACATAGTGTAGGCCTATCTACTGTACTGTATGTGTGTGATAGATATTGTGCTGATAGCACTAGAAACAGAAACAGCATTGTTTTTCAGCAGAGGCGGCATGCAGGCGGTTGGTTGCCTAGTCAGAGCTCTCCCTCCCACCACTGGTATTCTGCCCTTGATGTGTGAGGTGACAGCGTCTGGCAGCGAGCCATGAAAACCCCAGGCATTAGGACAACAGGATAACCTTTCAGCCCCTTACACTGTAGCCCTGCATTTAAGGTGCTAACACCTTATCTGCTGTTGAAGTGCCAGATGTTTAGAGGAAAGATAATGTCTGACTGACTCATTGATAAGATGAAGCAAATTTGTCTGCCAACACGACACAGGCCTGGTTCTTCTTTCTATACTATGTGTAACAGTGTTTTGAATTTGTCTATTGAATTTTTATAGACAATGGGATATTTCATAATTTTGCTAGATATTTAAATGTTAAATCGACAGGTTTCTAAGTTTAACTCAGTTCTTCTACTCTCTGTGCCTGAAAGGACGGGGCTATTACCCTTTTCACACTACTGAGCTGACTATCCAACATAGTGGCTGGAACCACCCTGGAAAGGACAATGTGAAAAGAACATTTCCAAACCAGTACGGTTTGGGTTGGCACAAAGGTGGGAAAACGGCTATGTGATACCAGTCTGGTCCAGTCCCCATAAGGCGTTGTTCCATTCTCAGTGGCACTGGACCAGATATCCATCCATTGCAATTCCTCTCAGGTTTGCTCCATTTGGACGGTAGCCATTTTGGCTCTTTGTAGAGTAGGGAGGGTTTGGAGGGGTGGGCCACTATCCTTCTTCCTCAACAAAGCCTATTTCGGGCTCAAACATTAATCGGTATGGCAAGATGGAAACTCCCTTTTTTTTAATGACATTTTTCAATTTTTGCTTGGAGTGGATTAGGAAAGAGAACCCCGAACCACACTGTAATGTGATTACAGCAGTCGTGTTTAATTATTATTTTCAACAAAGCGACAGAGGATTATGGTTTGAAGAGAGGGGGTGACATTATTTTGAAGGGGTTACTTTTCTCTTCATTACTCCCTATGTAGTCTCGGAGGAGTTGATGGGATGAGTTAATGAGCATAAAAATAGAATTATGGAACATTGACTTGAATGGGAATGTCTGTTCTATTCATTGTATTTCTATGGTAATACGTTCTTGTCTGGGTCGTCCCGCGCCAGGATTGGTCCCGTCTGTGACGACATCCCACAGAATATCCTTCCCATGATGCCCCAAGGAAGCCGCTGGTGCATGGGCGGTAATTGCCCAACGCTCGGTGTAAAAATGTATTTGCAGGTTTTTGCATGTTGGTCCCCCGGCCAAGGGTTTCTAGAACGAAGGGGAGGGAGAGGGAAAGAGAGGAAGAGGGAGAGGGAGAGGAAGAGCGAGACGGGTAGAGAGAGTGAGCAACATAAAAGTGCTGACTTTAGTCATTTTGACTTCAAGGCCCCATTCTTTCTCTGCTCCTGACAGCTTTCATTATTCAAAGACGAGCTCTTGTTCTCGGGCCGCCATTTTAAACGTCAGTCTATATTCCGGTGCTAGTGCAAGGTTCGCTCGCCTCGTACCAGAGCACTTCATTTAAGCAGTCTTTTTTTACCATAATAGCAATTCTCTTCTATTACCTAGGTCGGCTTCAATTTCAACCTGGGTTTTGAATCCAATATGCATTTTGCTTCTTAATTTCAGTGACGATGCCTGATGAAAACGAATGAGAGATTTTATGTGGAAAAGCACCAATGCTTTTTAGACTGGGAGGGGTTAGAGCTAAAATTTGTCAATAACTTGCGATTGTCGTAAGCACGCGTGAATTGAATTTTAAAACTCTTTTAAGCTTTTAGTAAGTGCCAAAACGGGGGTAAGTGCTTAGTTGGACGCATTCCATGAAGCAAGTGTAGATCAAGCATAGGGCCTCCAATGACGGTGTCTGACTAAAACTGAGCAGCTAAACTTGGGGTCTTTTCAGGAGGATGCAACTATGCAGAATGTTTAGATAGAAACGTATTGTTTGGAACAGATATGATTGTCTGTCACTGTTTTGCAGTGCTGTGCATACTGTAAGCGCCTTGGAGCATCCATCAAGTGCTGTGAGGAGGGCTGCTGCCGCTCCTACCATTTCCCCTGCGCCGCCGCTGCTGGAACGTTCCAGGACCTGCGCCGACACACCCTCCTCTGCCCTGATCACCTCCAGCTAGCCTCACAAAGATGTGAGTATAGACCCTGTGTTGCACTGGGAGAATGATAACTAGATTTCACTATAGATGTCTAGTAGACAAAAGGCCAACTCTAGACACAACACAAGGCTTATGATAAGTGACATAATATTTATGTCAACTGGCAACTCTTATCTATTCTGATTCTAACTGAAGAACCAACTCTAACTGATTCCACAACTGATATTTCCCTTGGTCAGAAGCAGCCATGATGACATGCTGCAGAATCAGTGTCACGTAGGTTTTATGAAATTCACTCCGTCTTGCCAAATCACCCTTTTTATGTTTTAGACAGTATGTTAAATTGTCAAAGTGATGTTACTTTCTCATTGAATGAAATGTCTTTACACATGATGATTCCAGAAAAATCTGGAGAAAAAATGTAAGCAGTCTTTAAAAAAAAACCATAATAGCAATTCTCTACTATTACCGAGGTAACAATTATTTTGACATAAACAGTTGCATTCATGAGTTGTACTTTGGGATCTGCCCTTGTCTCACCAAACACCTCTATAGCTCAGCCCACGTTAATCACACAGACTGATGCAGAAGAAATGGACGAATCCAATGGTACAACCCAGAAGTCTGTACCTCAAACACACAATGTTTAAAAGGGGTTAGAAATCCAAAACACGCAGGCATTACTCATTGGGTTAATATGATTTTCCTCCTTACCTACAGCTAAAGAGGAGGTGAAGTGCTTGTTGTGTGACAGTGCTGGAGACCTGCAGGACCAACTCTTCTGCACCTCGTGTGGGCAGCACTACCACGGGGCGTGTCTGGACGTGAGTGTCACCCCCCTGAAGAGGGCCGGCTGGCAGTGCCCCGAGTGCAAAGTCTGTCTGACCTGCAGGTAATGGTCCACTCTGTAGCATAACGTACCATATGCATGCTTGTATGCGCTAGAAGACATTGCGCTAGAAGCCATTGCGCTAGAAGCCATTGCGCTAGAAGCCATTGCGCTAGAAGCCATTGCGCTAGAAGCCATTGCGCTAGAAGCCATTGCGCTAGTTAGATGTGTGCTAGTAGCCATTGCGCTAGTTAGCTGTGTGCGCTAGTTAGCCGTGTGCGCTAGTTAGCCGTGTGCGCTAGTTAGCCGTGTGCGCTAGTAGCCATTGCGCTAGTTAGCTGTGTGCGCTAGTAGCCATTGTGCTAGTAGCCATCATGTGGTGTTGTCACCCTCCCGAGACCTGAAGTAGTGTCGCCCAACCAAGACAAGGGCATGATAGGGTAATGGCTAGCAGCCAACCAAAGTGCCATTGTTTGGCGTTTGTGTCACATAGCTGACTAACAATGAAAAAGTTGTTGTTTAGACGGTTACCTAAGTTGACTGAGTTGACACCAAATGGACCCCATTCCTAACTCTGTCACTCCCATGAGCCATAGTCCACTCACCATTCATCCGCATCCCGAGTGGAAAAACTCCATTAACTTTTGAGATTTCTATCAGGGATAGCTATGAACGAATAGGAAAAAATGTCTGGTTCTGCACCCAGCTGCATATAGCCAGCCGACTATATATGTTTTTGTGTTTCAAAGAAATCGAAAAAAGAGAATTGAGCCATTGGGGAGTCAGTTTCGAGCTTGTTGGAGTTTTCTGAAGGGTCTATAGGAAGATAAAAGGGGAAAAGAGAGAGTCTTATTTTTTTTGCATGTGGAATTAATAACAACTGTATTTTGCAGGAGCATGGGAGCATTAAAAGAAAAGATAAGAGAGCTGGGGAGATTTGTGTGCATACTGTGTTTGATCAGCCCCAAGCTCCCTACACATACAACCAGCCAAGCAAAGTCAATTCCTTCGCAAGGCTGTCTGCTTTAATGTAAACTGTTTTTCTTTGTGGAAGGGTGTGTGTTGTGTGTGTGCTGTGGAGGTGTGTGTGTGTTGTGGGAGTGTGTGTGTGGTTGGGGGGACTAGGTGTGTGTGGAGAGGTATGTGCTTGTGAAGGAGTCACATTTTGGGGGAGTATAGTAAAGAATAGATGAAAGACGGGGATGACTAAATCTGAGAGCTGATGATTCAAAGTGCTCCAGGAGTGGAGAGTTGAAGCCAGCAAATTAAGTAATCGAAAAGCAAAAGAGCATGACCTACTGGTGTCTCTTTTGAAGGCAAGCTTTTAAAGATTTTTATAGAGTTTGCTTAACTCTGAAAGTGTTGATTTCATGGAAGTGAGCTCCCCTACCAAGACCATGTTTTTGGTAGCGTAATGATTAGCACGCTAGCCTCTGGGGAGTGAAGTGGTGTTGTTGATTTGAGATGGAATCCTGCGTGTGACATGCAGGTTTATTTCCATTGCATTGGCTTGTCATGGGCTGTCAATCATGGACAGAATGTAACAGAAGCTCTTTATGTTGAGGGAGATCACATTTGAGATTATGTGGGCATTGAAAGCCTGCTGCCTATATGTACTGTATATATTAATGAGGCCTACTGTAAAGCCTGTATATAGGGATAAGAGGCCTACTGTAAAGCCTGTATATAGGGATAAGAGGCCTACTGTAAAGCCTGTATATAGGGATAAGAGGCCTACTGTAAAGCCCGTATATAGGGATAAGAGGCCTACTGTAAAGCCCGTATATAGGGATAAGAGGCCTACTGTAAAGCCCGTATATAGGGATAAGAGGCCTACTGTAAAGCCCGTATATAGGGATAAGAGGCCTACTGTAAAGCCTGTATATAGGAATAAGAGGCCTACTGTAAAGCCCGTATATAGGGATAAGAGGCCTACTGTAAAGCCCGTATATAGGGATAAGAGGCCTACTGTAAAGCCCGTATATAGGGATAAGAGGCCTACTGTAAAGCCCGTATATAGGGTTAAGAGGCCTACTGTAAAGCCCGTATATATGGATAAGAGGCCTACTGTAAAGCCCGTATATAGGGATAAGAGGCCTACTGTAAAGCCCGTACATAGGGTTAAGAGGCCTACTGTAAAGCCCGTATATAGGGATAAGAGGCCTACTGTAAAGCCCGTATATAGGGATAAGAGGCCTACTGTAAAGCCCGTATATAGGGATAAGAGGCCTACTGTAAAGGCCGTATATAGGGATAAGAGGCCTACTGTAAAGCCCGTATATAGGGTTAAGAGGCCTACTGTAAAGCCCGTATATAGGGTTAAGAGGCCTACTGTAAAGCCTGTATGTAGGGATAATAGGCCTACTGTAAAGCCTGTAAATAGGGATAAGAATCCTACTGTAAACCCTGCACCATGGTGTTGAGCTGAGCTAAGCTTCCAAGGAGCTAGGATGGGAGAGAGTTGGAAAAGATCAGTGAAAATATAGAGTGCAGTTTTAACAGATGGGGAGCTGGGGAATTGGTGGGGGGAGAGGGATGGGGGCCAGGGGGTGTTGGTTAGGCAGCAGCACTCAGAGTGATATAGGGACGTCTCTGTGTGTGTGTGTGTGTGTGTGACTCCACTGCACAGCTGTAAATATCAGATGACGTTCTCATTCAGGTTGGATTTGTGTCATCTGAAAAACAGGCTACTGGGATTTGATAGATCTCTGGGCTCTAGCCTCTTTCCTAATACCATAACCCCCCACCACACACACACGCCATAAATCTTACATTTAGGTCTCTTGATTTATTCTTCAAACAACATTAATGCATCCAAAATCTGCCACGGAGGGACGGTTCTCGATGGCGGGTGCCGTTTTAATGGTGCGTTTGATTGGCTGGACCAATTTAGAATCTTGAAGTTCAGTGAATTGTATTCTATGAAGGAAACGTGATCTTTTCTCGTTCCTATAAGTTATGTGTACCAGGTAATGGAAAAAGACGTAATGTTCACAATGTGGTGTGTGAGATCATTTGTGTGTTATAAAATGTACTGCATTGAACATAATCAGTGAGAGGTTTTTTACCCCCGATTGACAAACCTAATTTGAGTTCCCAACTGTCTGGCTGGCTTTCTTTTCTTCCTCGTACTTTATTGATAAATGAATGTAGTTCCTTGTCTAATTCCCAAACACTGATAAAGAGCCTATAGACACTGTGAGACCCTGGAGGACCAGACTCAATAATCCCTCTCCTGAACCACACAGATAAATACCAAAGTGACACTTGGACAAATGGTTTGGGTGTCTGTCTTTGCGGTTGGGAAACACAAACCCTGGTGCTGTCCATACTACAGTACTCCCATGCTATTTTTCTCTCTAGTCTAGGGTGTGTGGGTTACATTGGGTGTGTATTGGGTGTGTGTCGTATATTATTGTGTGTGTATAATCTTTCTCTTTCCTGTGTGTGTGTTGCAGGAACCCGGGGGAGGACAGCAAGATGCTGGTCTGTGACACGTGCGATAAAGGCTATCACACCTTCTGTCTCCAGCCTACCATGAAATCCATCCCCACCAACGGTTGGCGGTGCAAGGTAAGAAACACTCCAAACACTTTTCACAACACGGAATATCGTCTGGCAGAGACAGGAGAGTATGTATGTATATAACGTGCTGTCAATTTACCTCACGGGGGGGGGGGGGGGGGCGGACGGACGGACGGACGGGGGGCTCTGAAGGAACGCGAGTGAAGCTCTTGTCTTCCGGCTGTTTCACCGTACCCCCATTTCTCTGTCTCTCTGTCTCTCTCTCTCTCTCTGTCCCCAAAGAGTCTCCCAGCTGTTTTTATCCGGCAGTTGAAAATAGCTTTTGGGGCTTTTAGTGCCTTTTTGGGCTGTGGGGGGGGGGAGATACAGCCCTCAAACATGGGCAATAGCTTTTGGGGCTTTTAGTGCCTTTTTGGGCTGCAGGAGGGGTGGGGGGGGGAGATACAGCCCTCAAACATGGGCAATGAAGTGTGTTTCCCCCGGCTTTGCAGTGGGGGCACGCAAGCATGCAGGCTTTCATCTCCACTATTGTCATAAAGGGAGATTCTGGGCTTAGTGTGGTTGCTAAAATGGAGGGAGGAAATACTGTGGATACATAAGAGTAGAGTGCCAAAAGCTGAGATGGCCCCCAACCCTTTTACCTTACTGTAAAGGGGAACAGTTTTTCTTATTGCATTCTGGAAGACTCGGGACATGTGAGGATTTCTTAGTTTCAATCTTTTATCTTTCAAAACAAAATGTAGGTTTTCATTCACCCATTTTACTTAGTTGCTGTGTGGTACAAAGGGGAGTAGTCTAAAATGTCTCCCCAAGACCTGCACTGCTGCTGTTTTGTATCCACATTTTATTGGAGGAGAGATTCCTCATGTTGCTCCATTTTTAAAGGGAAAATACACTCAAGAAAAACAATTGTAAAAAATATATACAGTGCATTCGGAAAGTATTCAGACACTTTTTCCACATTTTGTTACGTTACAGCCTTATTCTAAAATTGATTAAATAATTTTTTCCCCTCATCAATCTACACACAATATCCCATAGTGACATTTTAGCTCATTTGTTAAAAAACAAAAAACGGATACCTTATTTACATAAGTATTCAGACCCTTTGCTATGAGACTCGAAATTGAGCTCAGGTACATCCTGTTTCCATTGATCATCCTTGAGATGTTTCTACAACTTCATTGGAGTCCACCTGTGGTCAATTCAATTGATTGGACATGACAGAGCAAAAACCAAGCCAAGAGGTTGAAGGAATTGTCTGTAGAGCTCCGAGACAGGATTGTGTCAAGGCACAGATCTGGGGAAGGGTACCCAAAAAATTCTGCAGCATTGAAGGTCCCCAAGAACACAGTGGCCTCCATCATTCTTAAATTGAAGAAGTTTGTAACCACCAAGACTCTTCCTAGAGCTGGCCGCCCGGCCAAACTGAGCAATCGGGGGAGAAGGGCCTTAGTCAGGGAGGTGACCAAGAACCCGATGGTAACTCTGACAGAGCTCCATAGTTCTTCTGTGGAGATGGGAGAACCTTCCAGAAGGACAACCATCTCTGCAGCGCTCCACCAATCAGGCCTTTATGATAGAGTGGCCTGATGGAAGCCACTCTTCAGTAAAAGGCACATGACAGCCCGCTTGGAGTTTGCCAAAAGGCACCTAAAGGACTCTCAGGCCATGAGAAACAAGATTATCTGGATCTGATGAAACCAAGATTGAACTCTTTGGCCTGAATGCTAAGCGTCACGTCTGGAGGAAACCTGGCACCATCCCTACGGCGAAGCATGGTGGTGGCAGCATCATGCTGTGGGGATGTTTTTCAGCGGCAGGGAGACTAGTCAGGGTCAAGGGAAAGATGGACGGAGCAAATTACAGAGAGATCCTTGATGAAAACCTGCTCCAGAGCGTCCAGGACCTCAGACTGGGCCGAAGATTCACCTTCCAACAGGACAACGACCCTAAGCACACAGCCAAGACAACGCAGGAGTGGCTTCGGGACAAGTCTCAATGTCCTTGAGTGGCCCAGCTAAAGCCCGGACTTGAACCTAATCGAACAACTCTGAAAATAGCTATGCAGCGACGCTCTCCATCCAACCTGACAAAGCTTGAGAGGATCTGCTGAGAAGAATGGGAGAAACTCCCCAAATGCAGGCATACCCAAGAAGACTCAAGGCTGTAATCGCTGCCAAAGGTGCTTCAACAAAGTACTGAGTAAAGGGTCTGAACACTTATGTAATTTTATTTTATTTATTTATTTATTTTCATTATGGGGTATTGTGTGTAGATTGATGAGGGGGAAAAACAATTTAATCCATTTTAAAATAAGGCTGTAGCGTACCAAAATGTGGAAAAAGTCAAGGGGTTTGAGTACTTTCTGAATGCACTGTATATATATTTTTTTTTATTAGTCCACTGTTGAAACAGTCCCAAAATGCTTTGCATGTCAGCAGTCAAGTTTTAAAAATATTGGACTTTCAAGAAGCAAAGTGTCACCGGCTACATCATCATGATGATGCAAAACATTTTGGGACTGTATCAACAGTGGACTAATGAACAAAATATTGTTTTTGAGTGGAATTTCCCTTTAACATTTGAATGAAGAATTCTGCCTAATTTCACTGTAAAGGGTTTGCCTTAGGTCCATAGACATCCATGGTCATTTTGACCCTTATTGAGATACTGCCAATAGAAACCCACAATTCTCATTGACATCCGCATTGGGGTGAATTTACAAGTCTCGCTGCGTGTGTAGGCAGGACATTGAGACGTAATCTGAGCTAATCCATCATTTTACATCCGATGGAGGGATGAAGAGGATGGATAGATATGTCTCTGATCCCATTCCTCTGATCATCAGCTGGCCACCAGCTCTACCTCTTTCTCTCTCTTTCTTACTCTGTGTCTGTCTGTGTGTTATTAATCCCTGTCTGTCTCACGGTTACAGCACACTGCGCTGCCAAGGCAAATGTAGTTATCCGAGGCCTGCTAGCGCGCGCACACACACACCTCCTCTCCCCCACCTTATCCCCATCTCTTCCCAAATCCCAGTCAGGCACTTATTTTCTTCAGGATAGACGTGGGGCCACTCTCTCTCCCTCCTTCCTTCCTTCCCCTGGCCCACAGGGCCACTCTCTCCCCCCACTGTTGGACATGAGCTGGCCACTGGAGCCAAGCCATAGGGGTGGCTTGTCTCTAATAGGCCAGTGGGGGTCTGGACTTTAGGGTGTGTGGGTGGCGTTTGGTAGGTTAGGGGGTTGTACAGAGAAGCTTTAGATTGAGCTTGTTCCTCCTCACCCCTGAAAGCTCGGAATACCACTGCTCCTTTTGAACGCTACTTAATGAGCCTGAAGTGGTACTTTTGAAGGTGTAATGTAATTTCCACCTGGCTGATCATAGGCTCATTGCAAAGGAGGCATATTTTTTATATGGGTTGGGAAATGTATGTTAATTATTATCTTTGCGTAATCCAATAGTGATCACGTGTTTTGAAATGGCTGTCATAAAGATGTAGTGTTTTATCCGTTTTAATAACTGACATAATGTAAATGGCAATCAGTTTAATCCTCTGATGTGACATTTTCAACCAACATTTAAATAGAACAGTTTCATGCTTCATAACAAAGTGAGGTCAGTTGGCAAAAGTTTAAAGGTGGTTGGCAGAAATAAACACACTACTTTCTATGGTATGCATTGTCATTCTGGTGCCATGTACAGTGCCTTGCAAAGGTATTCCTCCCCCTTGGCGTTTTTCCTATTTTGTTGCATTACAACCTGTAATTTAAATGGATTTTTATTTGCATTTCATGTAATGGACATACACACAATAGTCCAAATTGGTGAAGTGAAATGAAAAGAATAACTTGTTTCAAAAAGTCAAAATAATAAATAACGGAAAAGTGGTGCGTGCATATGTATTCACCCCCTTTGCTATGAAGCCCCTAAATAAGATCTGGTGCAACCAATTACCTTCAGAAGTCACATAATTAGTTAGATTGCACACAAGTGGTCTTTATTTAAGTGTCACATGATCTCAGTGTATATATACACCTGTTCTGAAAGGCCCCAGAGTCTGCAACACCACTAAGCAAGGGGCAACACCAAGAAAGCGGCACCATGAAGACCAAGGAGCTCTCCAATCAGGTCAGGGACAAAGTTGTGGAGAAGTACAGATCATTAAATCCATTATTAAAAATGGAAAGAATATGGCACCACAACAAACCTGCCAAGAGAGGGCCGCCCACCAAAACTCACGGACCAGGCAAGGAGGGCATTAATCAGAGAGGCAACAAAGAGACCAAAGATAACCCTGAAGGAGCTGCAAAGCTCCACAGCGGAGATTGGAGTATCTTTCCATAGGACTACTTTAAGCCATACAGTCCACAGAGCTGGGCTTTATGGAAGAGTGGCCGGAAAAAAGCCATTGCTTAAAGAAGAAAATAAGCAAACACGTTTGGTGTTCGCCAAAAGGCATGTGGGAGACTCCCCAAACATATGGAAGAAGGTACTCTGGTCAGATGAGACTAAAATTGAGCTTTTTGGCCATCAAGGAAAACACTATGTCTGGCGCAAACCCAACACCTCTCATCACCCCATGAACATCATCCCCACAGTGAAGCATGGTGGTGGCAGCATCATGTTTTGGGGATGTTTTTCATCGGCAGGGACTGGGAAACTGGTCAGAATTGAAGGAATGATGGATGGCGCCAAATACAGGGAAATTCTTGAGGGAAACCTGTTTCAGTCTTCCAGAGATTTGAGACTGGACGGAGGTTCACCTTCCAGCAGGACAATGACCCTAAGCATACTGCTATAGCAACACTCAAGTGGTTTAAGTGGAAACATTTAAATGTTTTGGAATGGCCTAGTCAAAGCCCAGACCTCAATCCAATTGAGAGTCTGTGGTATGACTTAAAGATTGCTGTACACCAGCGGAACCCATCCAACTTGAAGGAGCTGGAGCAGTTTTGCCTTGAGGAATCCCAAGAGACTTGCAGCTGTAATTGCTGCAAAAGGTGGCTCTACAAAGTATTGACTTTGGGAGGTGAATAGTTATGGACGCTCAAGTTTTCAGTGTTTTTGTCTAGTTTCTTGTTTCACCCGCAACATTTTTTTGCATCTTCAAAGTGGTAGGCATGTTGTGTAAATCAAATTATACAAACCCCCAAAAATCAATTTTAATTCCAGGTTGTAAGGCAACAAAATAGGAAAAATGTCAAGGGGGGTGAATACTTTCGCAAGCCACTGTAGCGAAGCATTCTATAGCCACTGGGTGTTGTTGAAATGTATTTTTCAAAGAATGTGTTTTCACATGTAGTTTTGTCACTCCAAACTTTGGTTGTTGACCATGGAAATCTAAATATTTCAGTGTGCAATGAATCCATATGTAGAAGTGTAACTAATGTATCATGTCTCTGGCCTTCCCTCTATCTCCAGAACTGTCGGGTGTGTTCTTTGTGTGGGGTCAGGCTGGCGGGCCAGTGGGCCCACAACATCACACTGTGCGAGGGTTGCCATGGGCAACCGGAGGAGCCCGCCCCCACCCTGCAGTGCTCACTGTGTGTGAGGGGCCAAGGCCCCGGTGACGCCCCTGGAGACGCCCCTAAAGACGACCACCTCACCTGCCGCACCTGCAAGAGGTACGCTTCATTCTGTCGCCGTGATTACTGTTGATTATGTTAACGTCCCCAACACTGCTGATGGATGCCGTGCAAGACAATGAGCTGATACACAGTAGAACTACAATATTTATTTAGTATGTGATTAGCCTGTTCCCAGATCTGTTAGTGCTGTGGTCATTGTCATGTTTGGCATGAGGGGTCCTACAGCACAAATCTGGGACCAGGCTTACATGTACCAGTCTGTGGTAGGGATGGGCACAGTTATTTTAATATCCGAACAGACGTTAGTATTGAAATACTTGCAAGAGTATTCATTTTTGAAGAAAAATAAATCATAGGCCTATTTTAACAATGAAAAGGCTTTGTCTAAATGTAATTTAATTATCTATGTGACATTCCAACACACAAAGATATACCATGACATTTGAAATTCTTAATTCAATAAAACAAGACTGTAGTTATGACGTGCGCCCCATAAAAATACGTACCGTAGTCTACACGGGTTTCACTCGTTTGTTGTTATTGTTGGCCATTCAGTTGCAAGCAAGCGGCACCCAAGTCGCGCATGCTAGGCAGCAAGCCAGTTCCCAAGTTTAAGTAATCCGGATATCCGAAAACATGTAATGATATTATTTGAATAGTGAAAGTATTTCAAATGCCCATCCCTAGTCAGTGATATATACTGTATATGCCACATGGGGCCTCTTTCAGTGTCCCTGTGTACGCAGGTTGTATCATCTGTCTCGTTACGTGTGATTGAGCTATTTATTGACTAACGATGTGGATTTGACACCCCGCTGTCGGGGTCATCTAATGAATTGGATTATAATATGGTTTACAGCTAGAGACTGTCACACAGCCAAAGTGTTAGCTAATATGTCAGATGGATTATAACTGAATTGGTTTTCAAGCTTTACAGACCGGGAAACTTAGCATTACAGTGTTGTAGCCCAGTAGGTTAGTTTAGTTGGTTTTTCACATGTTTCACAGTGTACAAATGGTCAATACCAAATGGAATCTCCAGGTCAGCAACTGGCCCAGCGATCCAGCCAATCCCGGTCACTTAAAACGTTGAATAGGTAGATTAATGGCTACGTGGGCCTCTATACCAACTACTATTATTAACCAATCACTGAGCTGGATTTGGCAGCTCTGCTGTGGGCTAAGGTTTTTCCACAACAGAGCGATTGTTGCCCACGGCGACCACTGGGAGGTCGTTACGGCAACCCAGAGCTCATGCAGTTGGCGGCATGGTGATGCCTTTGTGATGAGGGGTCGTGTAAGTAAAGACCACTGTGGCGAATGGATTGGTTATCCAGGTCCAGCAAGTCGCCTTAGGGTCAGCCAATATCGTTCACCGTAGTGGACACTTCCTGCCGTCCAGGGAAGTAAATAGGAGCTGCAAACCCCTAGGCCCCAAACTTAAGTCTGGACCTCGAAGCCAGTTCCACTGCATTTTTTCATTGTTCCTCTCTAATCAGGGACTGATTTTAGACCTGGGACAACAGGTGTGTGCAATTTAATTATCAGGTCGAACAGAAAACAAGCAGGCTCCGGGCCTCGTAGGGTAAGAGTTAAGGACCCTTGGCCTACAGTGGCTTGCGAAAGTATTCACCCCCCTTGGCATTTTTCCTATTTTGTTGCCTTACAACCTGGAATTAAAATTGTTTTTTGGGGGGGGTTTGTATCATTTGATTTACACAAGATGCAAAATATTTTTTCTTGTGAAACAAACAAGAAATTAGACAAAAAACCAGTACTTGAGCGTGCGTAACTATTTAATACTTTGTAGAGCCACCTTTTGCAGCAATTATAGCTGCAAGTCTCTTTGGGTATGTCTCTATAAGCTTGGCACATCTAGCTACTTTCAAGTTGGATGGGTTCCGCTGGTGTACAGCAATCTTTAAGTCATACCACAGATTCTCAATTGGATTGAGGTCTGGGCTTTGACTAGGCAATTCCAAGACATTTAAATGTTCCCCTTAAACCACTGGAGTGTTGCATTAGCAGTATGCTTAGGGTCATTGTCCTGCTGGAAGGTGAACCGCTGTCCCAGTCTCAAATCTCTGGAAGACTGAAACAGGTTTCCCTCAAGAATTTCCCTGTATTTAGTGTCATCCATCATTCCTTCAATTCTGACCAGTCCCTGCCGATGAAAAACATGCCCACAGCATGATGCTGCCACCATCTTGTTCTCGAGGTGATGAGAGGTGTTGGGTTTGCGCCAGACATAGTTTTCCTTGATGGACAAAAAGCTACATTTTAGTCTCATCTGACCAGAGTACATTCTTCCATATGTTTGGGGAGTCTCCCACATGCCTTTTGGCGAACACCAAACGTGTTTGCTTATTTATTTTTTAAACAATGGCCACTCTTCCGTAAAGCCCAGCTCTGTGGAGTGTACGGCTTAAAGTGGTCCTATGGACAGATACTCCAATCTCCACTGTGGAGCTTTGCAGCTCCTTCAGGGTTATCTTTGGTCTCTTTGTTGCCTTTCTGATTAATGCCCTCCTTGCCTGGTCCGTGATTTTGGTGGGCGGCGATGTTCAAAGTTTCTGATATTTCTTTATAACCCAACCCTGATCTGTACTCCACAACTTTGTCCCTGACCTGTTTGGAGAGCTCCTTGGTCTTCATGGTGCCGCTTGCTTGGTGGTGCCCCTTGCTTAGTGGTGTTGCAGACTCTGGGGCCTTTCAGAACAGGTGTGTATATACAGTGGGGAGAACAAGTATTTGATACACTACCGATTTTGCAGGTTTTCCTACTTACAAAGCACGTAGAGGTCTGTCATTTTTATCATAGGTACACTTCAACTGTGAGAGACGGAATCTAAAACAAAAATCCAGAAAATCACATTGTATGATTTTTAAGTAATTAATTTGCATTTTATTGCATGACATAAGTATTTGATCACCTACCAACCAGTAAGAATTCCGGCTCTCACAGACCTGTTAGTTTTTCTTTAAGAAGCCCTCCTGTTCTCCACTCATTACCTGTATTAACTGCACCTGTTTGAACTCGTTACCTGTATAAAAGACACCTGTCCACACACTCAATCAAACAGACTCCAACCTCTCCACAATGGCCAAGACCAGAGAGCTGTGTAAGGACATCAGGGATAAAATTGTAGACCTGCACAAGGCTGGGATGGGCTACAGGACAATAGGCAAGCAGCTTGGTGAGAAGGCAACAACTGTTGGCACAATTATTAGAAAATGGAAGAAGTTCAAGATGACGGTCAATCATCCTCGGTCTGGGGCTCCATGCAAGATCTCATCTCGTGGGGCATCAATGTTCATGAGGAAGGTGAGGGATCAGCCCAGAACTACACGGCAGGACCTGGTCAATGACCTGAAGAGAGCTGGGACCACAGTCTCAAAGAAAACCATTAGTAACACACTACGCCGTCATGGATTAAAATCCTGCAGCGCACGCAAGGTCCCCCTGCTCAAGCCAGCGCATGTCCAGGCCCGTCTGAAGTTTGCCAATGACCATCTGGATGATCCAGAGGAGGAATGGGAGAAGGTCATGTGGTCTGATGAGACAAAAATAGAGCTTTTTGGTCTAAATTCCACTCGCCGTGTTTGGAGGAAGAAGAAGGATGAGTACAACCCCAAGAACACCATCCCAACCGTGAAGCATGGAGGTGGAAACATCATTCTTTGGGGATGCTTTTCTGCAAAGGGGACAGGACGACTGCACCGTATTGAGGGGAGGATGGATGGGGCCATGTATCGCGAGATCTTGGCCAACAACCTCCTTCCCTCAGTAAGAGCATTGAAGATGGGTCGTGGCTGGGTCTTTCAGCATGACAACGACCCGAAACACACAGCCAGGGCAACTAAGGAGTGGCTCCGTAAGAAGCATCTCAAGGTCCTGGAGTGGCCTACCCAGTCTCCAGACCTGAACCCAATAGAAAATCTTTGGAGGGAGCTGAAAGTCCGTATTGCCCAGCGACAGCCCCGAAACCTGAAGGATCTGGAGAAGGTCTGTATGGAGGAGTGGGCCAAAATCCCTGCTGCAGTGTGTGCAAACCTGGTCAAGACCTACAGGAAATGTATGATCCCTGTAATTGCAAACAAAGGTTTCTGTACTGCTTTTCTGATGTGTCAAATACTTATGTCATGCAATAAAATGCAAATTAATTACTTAAAAATCATACAATGTGATTTTCTGGATTTTTGTTTTAGATTCCGTCTCTCACAGTTGAAGTGTACCTATGATAAAAAATTACAGACCTCTACATGCTTTGTAAGTAGGAAAACCTGCAAAATCGGCAGTGTATCAAATACTTGTTCTCCCCACTGTATACTGAGATCATGTGACAGATCATGTGACACTTAGATTGCACACAGGTGGACTTTATTTAACTAATAATGTGACTTCTGAAGATAATTCGTTGCACCAGATCTTATTTAGGGACTTCATAGCAAAGGGGGTGAATACATATGCACGCACCACTTTTCCGTTATTTTTTTTTTTGAATTCTTTGAAATACGTTTTTTTTTCATTTCACTTCACCAATTTGGACTATTTTGTGAATGTCCATTACATGAAATGCAAATAAAAATCCATTTAAATGACAGGTTGTAATGCAAAAGTATTCATCCCCCTTGGCGTTTTTCTTATTTGTTGCAAGGCACTGTAGACCCTCACTTGAAGTGCTGTTTTAGCTAATTTTTATTGGCCAAAAAAAACTGGCCAGTTTTACATTGTTATTGTGGCTAGTTTTAACAGTAGTTTTAAGACCAGCTCTTGGAGAGGGCTGAAATGGCCATTCTCTCAGAGGCCCCTCATAAGTACTTCTAAGCATACTCACATTATGAGTAGGGCTCACAGCCAGTTCTCTAGTAGTTATCCAGAAGTTCCCCAAACATAGTCAAAAGTATTGCCGTTAATGAACTGCATGTTTCATTTGCTTAGTGCTTACACGTCACGCTGACTCAGCAAACTAGCTCTTCTTGTCAGTTTCCCCGCTGAAACTCACACTGGTCTGTCTTTTGAAGTAGCCAGAGCTCAGGAATCGCAGGCAATACATGGGCTACACATACATGTCCTCTGTCTCCACGACGATGACCGTATTATAAGCAGCGCCTGTCTTTTTACTAAAGAAATTCATATTGTATCCCCCTAGAGTCTTAAGGGCCCGGGTCTGAGTTTCTACTAAGCTAGCCTCGTTGAGAACCAGGCTTCCCTAATGCATATCTCTAGCTTAAACAGACAGATTTTGATGGGGATTTTTTAAATTGTAATTATTATTCTTTGAGCCGAGCACGCTTGGCATTCTCTCATCCAGCTTCACCTGGAATGCTTTTCTAACAGTCTTGAAGGAGTTCCCACATATGCTCAGCACTTGTTGGCTGCTTTTCCTTCACTCTGCGGTCCAACTCATCCCAAACCATCTCAATTGGGTTGAGGTCGGGTGAATGTGGAGGCCATCATTATTCTTTGAGCCAAGCCGCGCATCATTTATTTGCTCGGCACTGAAAAGCCAACTGACATTTACTCCGGAGGTGCTGACCTGTTGCACCCTCTACAACCACTTTGATTATTATTTGACCCTGCTGGTCATCTATGAATGTTTGAACATCTTGAAGAACGATTTGGCCTTAATGGCCATGTACTCTTACCTCCACCCGGCACAGCCAGCAGAGGACTGGCTACCCCTCAGAGCCTGGTTCCTCTCTAGGAGTTTTTCCTAGCCAACGTGCTTCTACATCTGCATAGCTTGCTGTTTGGGATTTTAGGCTGGGATTCTGTATAAACAATTTGCGACATCATGTAAAAAGGGCTTTATAAATACATTTGAAAATGTGTGCATTTCTCTATATGCCAACAGTCATAACCATTACAGATAACAAATCCTAATAGCTAAATTGCTACATATACAGTACCAGTCAAAAGTTTGGACACACCTACTCATTCCAGGGTTTTTCTTTATTTTTACTATTTTCTACATTGTAGAATAATAGTGAAGTCATCAAAACTATGAAATAACACATATGGAATCATGTAGTAACCAAAAAAGTGTTAAACAAAGATTCTTCAAATAGCCACCCTTTGCCTTAATGACAGCTTTGCACACTCTTGGTATTCTCTCATCCAGCTTCACCTGGAATGCTTTTCCAACAGTCTTGAAGGAGTTCCCACATATGCTGAGCACTTGTTGGCTGCTTTTTCTTCAATCTGCGGTCCAACTCATCCCAAACCATCTCAATTGGGTTGAGGTCGGGTGATTGTGGAGGCCATTATTATTCTTTGAGCTGAGAAATTATTTATAAATATATTCTCCACCAGTCTCTCCCTTTACCTCATTGCCTCAAGCCTCACGAGCTGGGCATAAAAATACATTTAAAAAATAATAAATAAATAAAATGTTTTATTATTCTTTGAGCCAAGAAATTATTTTATTTATTTAAATATTTATTTATATATTGCTAAATATATTAATAAATACATATTTAAACATATACATACATATTTAAATATTTAAATAAATAAAATTTCTTGGCTCAAAGAATAAAAAAACATATTTTATTTATTATTTTTTTTAAATGTATTTTTATGCCCTCGTGAGGCTTGAGGCAATGGGGTAAAGGGAGAGACTGGTGGAGAGAAGCAAGGCAGAGTAAGCAGGGGAGAGTGAGAGACAGGGAAACACAGCTGGGAGAGCAAACCCACACCACAGGCTTAGAGACCCTCTCTGGGAGAGCTGCCATGGAAGCTGACTGACTGATGAGGAACCCAACCTGCCTGGCTAGAAAGTTTTAGTCATACCTAATGCTTCATGGTGGATGTCCAATAACTGCTGCTGGTGTAAATAATGACTTACTGAGTTGGTGAAAACCAGCTTCACATGTATGACAATTAAAGTTACTGTTATGATGAAGCATGTGATTGTTGTACGTTCCAGTCATAAGTATTTATTGCGTCATCTTAATCACGTCAGGTTGAAGTAATGTAAAGCTGTTTTGTTTATTTAATGGTGTTTGTTGGTTCTCTCTCAGGTGGCTTCATGGGGAGTGTGAGAAGCAGGCAGGGGGTGACCCAGACCTCCACCCACAGGCCGACTACGTCTGCACCGTCTGTAAGCAGGTGGAGAGCGACATGGTGGAAACCCCGGCCAGCCCCATCCAGGAATCCACAGAACCAGAACCAGAACCCACTATGGGTAAGAAACACACACAGCTGTATACAGCTGTCATTTACCTATGTAGAAAACTACCGTTATCTTGTGTGTCAGGTGGGTACTGGGACAGCAAAATATAAATAATTTCTGTGCAAATGGACCAAGCCAGTATTGTTTTGTCTTATTGTTGACTATATGGAGTAGTGCTCTAGTCTGGTTCACTATGTGGAATAGTGATCTAGTCTTGTTGGCTGTGGAATAGTGCTGTAGTCTAGTTCAGGGATGGGCAACTGGTGGCAGCCCAACATTTTATTTTTATTTATTATTTAACACATTTTGGGAACTCACTAACTGTTGAGTTAGAATAGTAGAATACAAAAGGTGCAATTTCGAAATTGATTCGTAAGTTAGTCTAGACTGCTATCTAAACTTGAAGTAATCATGGTCGTATTACCGACTGGGGGGACCGCATTGAATTTGTTGGTCACTCTCACTCAAATATATTAACTGAAAACATTTCTTTCCACCCCATGGCAAAATTAGTAGAATTGCATGAAGTTAGTTATTAAATTGCAAAATCTTCTCTCCGCCCCATGGACCAATGTGTAGAATTACAGGGAATGAACTCAGTTTTTTTTTCTTTCTCCGCTGTCAAGAGGGGGGCGGGGGCACTACTGCGGCCCCTCCATAATGAATTCTGAATTTTTTTGTGCCCCCACTCCCATGACAGTTGCCCGTCCCTGGTCTAGTTGACTACGTGGAATAGAATTGTAGTCTTGTTGACTGTGCAATAGTGATGTAGTGTTGTTGTTGACTATGTGGAATAGTGCTGCAGTCTAGTTTAGGAATGGGCGTTTGGCATTTTTTGACTGTTCGAATACGCGCATGATTTATTTGCTTGGCTCTGAAAAGCCAACTGCGGAGGTGCTGACTTGTTGCACCCTCTACAACCACTGTGATTATTATTTGACCCTGCTGGTCATCTATGAATGTTTGAACATCTTGAAGAACGATTTGGCCTTAATGGCCATGTACTCTTATCTCCCCGGCACAGCCAGAAGAGGACTGGCCACCCCTCAGAGCCTGGTTCCTCTCTAGGAGTTTTTCCTAGCCAACGTGCTTCTACATCTGCATAGCTTGCTGTTTGGGATTTTAGGATGGGCTTCTGTATAAGCAATTTGCGACATCTGCTAATGTAAAAAGGGCTTTATAAATACATTTGAAAATGTGTGCATTTCTCTATATGCCAACAGTCATAACCATTACAGATAACAAATCCTAATAGCTAAATTGCTACATATACAGTACCAATCAAAAGTTTGGACACCCCTACTCATTCCAGGGTTTTATCTTTATTTTTTACTATTTTCTACATTGTAGAATAATAGTGAAGACATCAAAACTATGAAATAACACATATGGAATCATGTAGTAACTAAAACTGTGTTAAACAAATCAAAATATATTTTATATTTGAGATTCTTCAAATAGCCACCCTTTGCCTTGATGACAGCTTTGCACACTCTTGGCATTCTCTCATCCAGATTCACCTGGAATGCTTTTCCAACAGTCTTGAAGGAGTTCCCACATATGCTGAGCACTTGTTGGCTGCTTTTCCTTCACTCTGTGGTTCAACTCATCCCAAACCATCTCAATTGGGTTGAGGTCGGGTGATTGTGGAGGCCAGGTCATCTGATGCAGCACTCCATCACTCTACTTCTTGGTAAAATAGCCCATACACAGCCTAGAGGTGTGTTGGGTCATTGTCCTGTTGAAAAACAAATGATAGTCCAACTAAGCACAAACCAGATGAGTGGCATAACGCTGCAGAATGCTGTGGGAGCCATGCTGGTTAAGTGTGCCTTGAATTCTAAATAAATCACAGACAGTGTCACCAGCAAAGCACCATCACACCACCTCCTCCATGCTTCACGGTGGGAACCACACATGCGGAGATCGTCTCACAAAGACACGGCGGTTGGAACCAAAAATCTCAAATTGTACTCATCAGACCAATGGACAGATTTCCACCGGTCTAATGTCCATTGCTCGTGTTTCTTGGCCCAAGCAGCTCTCTTCTTATTATTGGTGTCCTTTAGTAGTGGTTTCTTGGCAACAATTCGTCCATGAAGGCCTGATTCACGCAGTCTCCTCTGAACAGTTGATGTTGCAATGTTTACTTGAACTCTGAAGCATTTACAGTTGAAGTCGGAAGTTTACATACACTTAGGTTGGAGTCATTAAAACTCGTTTTTCAACAACTCCACAAATGTCTTGTTAACAAACTATAGTTTTGGTAAGTCGTTTAGAACATCTACTTTGTGCATGACACAAGTAATTTTTCCAACAATTGTTTACAGACAGATTATTTCACTTATAATTCACTGTATCACAATTCCAGTGGGTCAGAAGTTTACATACACTAAGGTGACTGTGCCTTTAAACAGCTTGGAAAATTCCAGAAAATGTTGTCATGGCTTTAGAAGCTTCTGATAGGCTAATTGACATCATTTGAGTCAATTGGAGGTGTACCTGTGGATGTATTTCAAGGCTTACCTTCAAACTCAGTGCCTCTTTGCTTGACATCATGGGAAAATCAAAAGAAATCAGCCAAGACCTCAGAAAAAAATTGTAGACCTCCACAAGTCTGGTTCATCCTTGGGAGCAATTTCCAAATGCCTGAAGGTACCACGTTCATCTGTACAAACAATAGTACGCAAGTATAAACACCATGGGACCACGCAGCCGTCATACCGCTCAGGAAGGAGACGCGTTCTGTCTCCTAGAGATGAACGTAGTTTGGTGCGTGAAGAGCAAATCAATCCCAGAACAACAGCAAAGGACCTTGTGAAGATGCTGGAGGAAACGGGTACAAAAGTATCTACAGTGGGGAGAACAAGTATTTGATACACTGCCGATTTTGCAGGTTTTCCTACTTACAAAGCATGTAGAGGTCTGTCATTTTTATCATAGGTACCCTTCAACTGTGAGAGATGGAATCTAAAACAAAAATCCAGAAAATCACATTGTATGATTTTTAAGTAAATAATTTGCATTTTATTGCATGACATAAATATTTGATACATCAGAAAAGCAGAACTTAATATTTGGTACAGAAACCTTTGTTTGCAATTACAGAGATCATACATTTCCTGTAGGTCTTGACCAGGTTTGCACACACTGCAGCAGGGATTTTGGCCCACTCCTCCATACAGACCTCCTCCAGATCCTTCAGGTTTCGGGGCTGTCGCTGGGCAATACAGACTTTCAGCTCCCTCCAAAGATTGTCTATTGGGTTCAGGTCTGGAGACTGGCTAGGCCACTCCAGGACCTTGAGATGCTTCTTACGGAGCCACTCCTTAGTTGCCCTGGCTGTGTGTTTCGGGTTGTTGTCATGCTGGAAGACCCAGCCACGACCCATCTTCAATGCTCTTACTGAGGGAAGGAGGTTGTTGGCCAAGATCTCGCGATACATGGCCCCATCCATCCTCCCCTCAATACGGTGCAGTCGTCCTGTCCCCTTTGCAGAAAAGCATCCCCAAAGAATGATGTTTCCACCTCCATGCTTCACGGTTGGGATGGTGTTCTTGGGGTTGTACACATCCTTCTTCTTCCTCCAAACACGGCGAGTGGAGTTTAGACCAAAAAGCTCTATTTTTTGTCTCATCAGACCACATGACCTTCTCCCATTCCTCCTCTGGATCATCCAGATGGTCATTGGCAAACTTCAGACAGGCCTGGAAATGCGCTGGCTTGAGCAGGGGGACCTTGCGTGCGCTGCAGGATTTTAATCCATGACGGCGTAGTGTGTTACTTAATGGTTTTCTTTGAGACTGTGGTCCCAGCTCTCTTCAGGTCATTGACCAGGTCCTGCCGTGTAGTTCTGGGCTGATCCCTCACCTTCCTCATGGTCATTGATGCCCCACGAGGTGAGATCTTGCATGGAGCCCCAGACCGAGGGTGATTGACCGTCATCTTGAACTTCTTCCATTTTCTAATAATTGCGCCAACAGTTGTTACCTTCTCACCAAGCTGCTTGCCTATTGTCCTGTAGCCCATCCCAGCTTTGTGCAGGTCTACAATGTTATCCCTTATGTTCTTACACATCTCTCTGGTCTTGGCCATTGTGGAGAGGTTGGAGGCTGTTTGAGTGTGTGGACAGGTGTCTTTTTATACAGGTAACGAGTTCAAACAGGTGCAGTTAATACAGGTAATGAGTGGAGAACAGGAGGGCTTCTTAAAGAAAAACTAACTGGTCTGTAAGAGCCGGAATTCTTACTGGTTGGTAGGTGATCAAATACTTATGTCATGCAATAAAATGCAAATTAATTACTTAAAAATCATACAATGTGATTTTCTGGATTTTTGTTTTAGATTCCGTCTCTCACAGTTGAAGTGTACCTATGATAAAAATGACAGACCTCTACATGCTTTGTAAGTAGGAAAACCTGCAAAATAGGCAGTGTATCAAGTACTTGTTCTCCCCACTGTATATCCACAGTAAAACAAGTCTTATATCGACATCTGAAAGGCCGCTCAGCAAGGAAGAAGCCACTGCTCCAAATCCGCCATAAAAAAGCCAGACTACGGTTTGCAACTGCACATGGGGACAAAGATCGTACTTTTTGGAGAAATGTCCTCTGGTATGATGAAACAAAAATAGAACTGTTTGGCCATAATGACCATTGTTATGTTTGGAGGAAAAAGGGGGTTGCTTGCAAGCCGAAGAACACCATCCCAACCGTGAAGCACGGGGGTGGCAGCATCATGCAGTGCGGGTGCTTTACTGCAGGAGGGACAGGTGCACTTCACGAAATAGATGGCATCATGAGGAAGGAAAATTATGTGGATATATTGAAGCAACATCTCAAGACATCAGTCAGGAAGTTAAAGCTTGGTCTCAAATGGGTCTTCCAAATGGACAATAACCCCAAGCATACTTCCAAAGTTGTGGCAAAATGGCTTAAGGACAACAAAGTCAAGTTATTGGAGTGGCCATCACAAAGCCCTGACCTCAATCCTATAGAAAATGTGTGGGCAGAACTTATAAAGCGTGTGCGAGCAAGGAGGCCTACAAACCTGACTCAGTTACACCAGCTCTGTCAGGAGGAATGGGCCAAAATTCACCCAACTTATTGTGGGAAGCTTGTGGAAGGCTACCCGAAACGTTTGACCCAAGTTAAACAATTTAAAGGCAATGCTACCAAATACTAATTTGAGTGCATGCGAACTTCTGACCCACTGGGAATGTGATGAAAGAAATAAAAGCTGAAAGAAATAATTCTCTCTACTATTAATCTGACATTTCACATTCTTAAAATAAAGTGGTGATCCTAACTGACATAAGACAGGGAATTTTTACTAGGATTAAATGTCAGGAATTGTGAAAAACTGAGTTTAAATGTATTTGGCTAAGGTGTATGTAAACTTCTGACTTCAACTGTATTTGGGCTGCAATTTCTGAGGCTGGTAACTCTAATGAACTTATCCTCTGCTGTAGAGGTAACGCTGGGTCTTCCTTTCCTCTGGCGGTCCTGGTGAGAGCCAGTTTCATCATAGCTCTTGATGGTTTTGCGACTGCACTTGAAGAAACTTTCAAAGTTCTTGAAATGTTCCGCATTGACTGACCTTCATGTCTTAAAGTAATGATGGACTGTCGTTTCTCTTTGCTTGTTTGAGCTGTTCTTGCCATAATATGGACTTGGTATTTTACCAAATAGGGCTATGTTCTGTATACCCCCCCCTACCTTATCACAACACAGCTGAATGGCTCAAACGCATTAAGAAGGAAATAAATTCCACAAATTAACTTTTAAGAAGGCACACCTGTTAATTTAAATGCATTTCAGGTGACTACCTCATTAAGCTGGTTGAGAGAATGCCAACAGTGTGCAAAGCTGTCAAGGCAAAGGGTGGCTATTTGAAGAATCTCAAATATAAAATATATTTAGCTTTGTTTAACACTTTCTTTTGGTTACTACATGATTCCATATGTGTTATTTAATCGTTTTGATGTCTTCACTATTATCCTACAATGTAGTCTCCCGAGTGGCGCAGTGGTCTAAGGCACTGCATCGCAGTGCTAGCTGTGCCACTAGAGATCCTGGTTTGAATCCAGGCTCTGTCGTAGCCGGCCGCGACCGGGAGACCCATGGGGCGGCGCACAATTGGCCCAGCGTCGTCCAGGGTAGGGGAGGGAATGGCCGGCAGGGGATGTAGCTCAGTTGGTAGAGCATGGCGTTTGCAACGCCAGGGTTGTGGGTTCGATAAAATAATGTATGTGCTAACTGTAAGTCGCTCTGGATAAGAGCGTCTGCTAAATGACTAAAATGTAAATGTAGAAAATTGTAAAAATAAGAGAAACCCTTGAATGAGTAGGTGTGTCCAAACTTTTTACTGGTACTGTATATTCAGTCAATTAAAAAATCTATAAATGCCATTTACGATACATGTATTGAAACCGTAATATCAACTGGTTATATTATATCATGGAAGGCAATCTTCAAAAAGGTAGCAACCTCAGTAGTGGCACTTGCTTGTAGAAGTCTATGTCTGTGCACTGACACAACCTTGTTTTGTTAATTTAGCAGACAACGCTCTTCTTTTCCGAGCCCTTATCAAAGTAAAGACACCTATTTTATAGTAAAAAGAGCATGATGTAATATAACAGAATAAAATAAAACCAAATATTTTTCCAAATTAAATAAGTTGCCAGTGCGTAGTGATGTGCATCTCGCGTTTGGAACAGATATTCTCAGAGTGATCATTTGAAATGGGGCTCAATTTGGCGAGTTGAAAGACTATTTGTTTTCAGGGTTACAAACACAAATCTGTGTTCTATTCAATATACAGACGTTTGATTTAGTTTATTCTGCCTGTTCTTTGGAATTTTCTAAATGGATTAACAATTCCACATTGAACAACGCATGGGGATTAATTACGGCCGTGAGTAGGCCTAGGCTTAATGATTCTGATGAAAATATGCTTGTTGTATTTATCAAACAGTTTTTGCATATTTTCACTGTCTGTTTTGTGGGGTTATAGACATAAATGGCTCTAGCAGTTCGAAGTAGCCTAAGGGAAAAATTGACGGGACGCAATTATTCCAAAACGGCAGAGCTTGTTGTTGGAACACATATTTCCCTACTTCAGTCAACCAGTCCTTTTTGAATTTCTGATAAAACTGTCATCATTTGGCAAGGAATGTAGTTTGTGCATCCCATCAGATATTTCTGTAGGCCTAACAGGAGCTTGTGTAGAGGGAGCGGTCGGAACGCAGTTGAGTTTTTTATTTATTTATTTCACCTTTATTTAACCAGGTAAGCCAGTTGAGAACAAGTTCTCATTTACAACTGCGACCTGGCCAAGATAAAGCAAAGCAGTGCGATAAAAACAACAACACAGAGTTACATATGGGGTAAAACAAAACAGAAAGTCAAAAAATACAACAGAAAATATATATACAGTGTGTGCAAATGTAGCAAGTTATGGAGGTAAGGCAATAAATAGGCTATAGTGCAAAATAATTACAATTAGTATTAACACTGGAATGCTAGATGTGCAAGAGATTATGTGCAAATAGAGATACTGGGGTGCAAAATAGCAAAATAAATAACAATATAGGGAGGAGGTAGTTGGGTGGGCTAATTTCAGATGGGCTGTGTACAGGTGCAGTGATCGGTAAGGTGCTCTGACAACTGATGCTTAAAGTTAGTGAGGGAGATAAGAGTCTCCAGCTTCAGAGATGTTTGCAATTCGTTCCAGTCATTGGCAGCAGAGAACTGGAAGGAATGGCGGCCAAAGGAGGTGTTGGCTTTGGGGATGACCAGTGAGATATACCTGCTGGAGCGCAGACTACGGGTGGGTGCTGCTATGGTGACCAATGAGCTAAGATAAGGCGGGGATTTGCCTAGCAGTGATTTATAGATGGCCTGGAGCCAGTGGGTTTGACTATGAACATGTAGTGAGGACCAGCCAACAAGAGCGTACAGGTCACAGTGGTGGGTAGTGTATGGGGCTTTGGAGACAAAACGGATGGCACTGTGATAGACTACATCCAATTTGCTGAGTAGAGTGTTGGAGGCTATTTTGTAAATGACATCGCCGAAGTCAAGGATCGGTAGGATAGTCAGTTTTACGAGGGCATGTTTGGCAGCATGAGTGAAGGAGGCTTTGTTGCGAAATAGGAAGCCGATTCTAGATTTAACTTTGGATTGGAGATTCTTAATGTGAGTCTGGAAGGAGAGTTTACAGTCTAACCAGACACCTAGGTATTTGTAGTTGTCCATATACTCTAGGTCAGAACCGTCGAGAGTAGTGATTCTAGTCGGGTGGGCGGGTGCCAGCAGCGTTCGATTGAAGAGCATGCATTTAGTTTTACTAGTGTTTAAGAGTAGTTGGAGGCTACTGAAGGAGTGTTGTATGGCATTGAAGCTCGTTTGGAGGTTTGTTAACACAGTGTCCGTTTGAAGGGCCAGATGTATACAAAATGGTGTCGTCTGCGTAGAGGTGGATCTGAGAGTCACCAGCAGCAAGAGCGACATCATTGATATACACGGAGAAAAGAGTCAGCCCAAGAATTGAACCCTGTGGCACCCCCATAGAGACTGCCAGAGGTCCAGACAACAGGCCCTCCGATTTGACACATTGAACTCTATCTGAGAAGTAGTTGGTGAACCAGGCGAGGCAGTCATTTGAGAAACCAAGGCTATTTAGTCTGCCAATAAGAATGCGGTGGTTGACAGAGTCGAAAGCCTTGGCCAGGTCGATGAAGACGGCTGCACAGTACTGTCTATTATCGATCACGGTTATAATATCGTTTAGGACCTTGAGCGTGGCTGAGGTGCACCCATGACCAGCTCGGAAACCGGATTGCATAGCGGAGAAGGTACGGTGTGATTCGAAATGGTCGGTGTTCTGTTTGTTAACTTGGCTTTCAAATACTTTCGAATGGCAGGGAAGGATGGATATAGGTCTGTAACAGTTTGGATCTAGAGTGTCACCCCCTTTGAAGAGGGGGATGACCGCGGCAGCTTTCCAATCTCTGGGGATCTCAGACGTTACGAAAGAGAGGTTGAACAGGCTAGTAATAGGGGTTGCGACAATTTCTGCGGCTAGTTTTAGAAAGAAAGGGTCCAGATTGTCTAGCCCAGCTGATTTGTAGGGGTCCAGATTTTGCAGCTCTTTCAGAACATCAGCTGTCTGAATTTGTGTGAAGGAGAAGCGCGGGGGGGGGGGGGCATGGGCAAGTTGCAGCGGAGGGTGCAGAGTTGGTGGCCAGGGTAGTGGTAGCCAGGTGGAAAGCATGGCCAGCCATAGCAAAATGCTTGTTGAAATTCTCGATTATTGTAGATTTATCGGTGGTGATAGTGTTTCCTAGCCTCAGTGCAGTGGGCAGCTGGGAGGAAGTGCTCTTATTCTCCATGGACTTTACAGTATCCCAAAACTTTTTGGAGTTAGTGCTACAGGATGCAAATTTCTGTTTGAAAAAGTTAGCCTTTGCTTTCCTGACTGCTTGTGTATATTGGTTCCTAACTTCCCTGAAAAGTTGCATATCGCGGGGGCTATTTGATGCTAATACAGTACGCCACAGAATGTTTTTGTGCTGGTCAAGGGCAGTCAAGTCTGAGGAGAACCAGGGGCTATATCTGTTCTTAGTTCTGTATTTTTTGAATGGGGCATGTTTATTTAAGGAAATTACTTTTAAAGAACAACCAGGCATCCTCTACTGACGGAATGAGTTAGTGAAACATTGACGGGGTTTAGGTAGGAGAACTGTGTGATGCTTGGCTTGGTTAAATTTTTGTTGTGCCCCGCAAATGCACATGTAGAAATGGAACACCAGAGTCAAAGCAAATTAATGTTGTCTTCAAGACAACATTTCTATCTCTGGTTAAAGATCGAGTTTGACATCCGTTCGAGTACTTGATTACTCATGCCCATCCCTAGTCTAGTTGTTGACTATGTGGAATAGTGCTTTAGTCTTGTTGTTGACAAATAGGGCTGTAGTCTTGTTGACTATCTGGAATATTGTTGTGGGCTTGTTGACACTGTGGAATAGTGCTGTAGTCTTTGACTTAGTCAACAAGACTACAACACTTTTCCTTGATGTGGATTAGTGTTGTAGTCTTTGACTGATTAGTGTTGTAGTACTGTTGACTATGTGGAATAGTGTTAATGTCTAGTTGACTGTGGAAGAGTGTTATCGTCTAGTTGACTGTGGAATAGTGTTGTAGTCTCATTGACTATCAGAATAGTGTTGTCTAGTTGACTGTGGGATAGTGTTGTAGTCTTGTTGACTGTGGAATAGTGTTGTAGTACTGTAGACTATGTGTAATAAGGTTATTGTCTAGTTGGTTATGTGGAATAGTATTGTAGTCTTGGTGACAATGGAATAGTGTTGTAGTCTTGTTGACAATGGAATAGTGTTGTAGTCTTGTTGACTATGGAATAGTGTTGTAGTCTTGTTGACTATGGAATAGTGTTGTAGTCTTGTTGACTGGAATATTGTAGTCTTCTTGACTGGAATAGTGCTGTAGTCTAGTTGTTGAGTATGTGGAATAGTGCTGTAGTCTAGTTGTTGAGTATGTGGAATAGTGCTGTAGTCTTTGACGTAGTGGAGAATGTGTGTAGTCTTGTTGACTGGAATAGTGTTGTAGTCTTGTTGACTATGTAATAGGGTTATTGTCTAGTGGACTATGTGGAATAGTGTTGTAGTCTGGCTGATTATGTGGAATAGTGCTGTAGTCTTGTTGTTGACTATGTGTAATAGTGCTGTAGTCTTGTTGTTGAATATGTGAAATAGTGCTGTAGTCTTGTGGTTGACTATGTGGAATAGTGCTGTAGTCTTGTTGACTATTTGGCTCGCGCAAACAATGAACTGGCCAGAACACATTTTTTGGAAAATAACTAATTGGGTTTGGGGTTTTGTGAAATGTTTTTGGATGATGCAGTTAAATTCTGCCGATACTCGAAAAGAAGGTCCACACAGCAATGTCTGAATCCCTTCCATCCACTCCATCTCTCTGAGCCAGGCAGCAAGTGGTGGGAGAGAAATGCATCAATTACTGGCTTCCTGTATTCACAGAACCAGCTGGTGACCTATCATGGGCTGGCCCCACCAGCTAAAAGCCAATCTGATTTCCCTCGAAGGCATTATTACCAGGCCTAATGAAAATGGACCCTGTTCCCAGCCCGCTTGGCACCCAGATGAATTGTGGCGCGGATTTGTTGTGATTTCCCCCTTTCTTCTCCTCTCCCTGTAGCCACTCATCACCCTTCTCCACTGCCTTTGTACAATGTGTGTGTGGGGGAAAGAGGAGGATGTGAGGGAGTGTGTTAGTGTGTGCAAGTGGGATACACATGTGTGTATGCAAACGCATCAGTGTGTGCATTTGTGTGCGCGCGCATATGCATTGGCCCAATGTTCCCCCCCAAAAAATTTAGGCACTGAGCAAATTTCAGGTCTGCTGAGCGCAAACTTGAACATTGTGAAAATTCTGTGCAACTTCCGGAACGTTTACTGTGAACACTAAGGCTGTACCTGCTTTAAGTTAGTGTTAACAGTGGTCAAGTAGGCCACTGTGGCTATTTGATCATAATGTAGGCCTACCAGTGGCCTACCATCAATAACAATGGAGAAAATGCATCCCATAACATTTTAACATTGGATGCCCCCCCCCCCCCCCCCTCTCTCTCTCTCATACATCTCTTTCTGCGTCTACGACAGTGGTTCCCAACCTTTTTTGGTTTCTCTACCACAACTGAATTTTGAAAAATGTAGGCACACAGAAATTTAGGAGCACAATGAAAAATATTTGAGATATTAAAGCTAGAATTCTTAATTTTCCTAGACGCACTGATGCTCATTAAAAAAAATCCAGGTCGCACAACAAATATTTAGGCGCATATACGAGTAAAATGGTCGAATGTGCACACTCGCTACATGTAGCTCTCGCTTTGATCTCAAAACAAACGCATCTACTCACAACCGCTCATGCTGTAAACACAGTCCAGTTTAAAGTGAATGGCACAGATCCATATATTGCAATGGTCTATTTGCATATAGGCCTACTGCAGCGCTGATTGGTTATGGCGCACAGGTCTGTGTGGAGTAAGGGCCTGAGTCGTGCCTGTCAAAGCAATAGAATCCTACTCCGACGCGTTCTACCTACAACAAAATCTCTTGCATAGTTTTGTTTCGGTATGTTGCAATGAAAGTGGCTAATATTGTATTGGTTCGATCACAATTCCCACAATACTTTGTGCTTCTCTGCGTGTGCTGATATTTATTCTGTACGGCAGTCCCGGGGGAGCTGCACACGCGTGCAGCTTAGAGGGAACATTGCATGGGCCTACAGTGCATTCGGAAAGTATTCAGACCCCTTGACGTTTTCCACATACGGTACAGCCTTATTCTAAAATGGATTAAATAAATAAAAATCCTCATCAATCTAGATACAATACCCCATAATGACAAAGCGAAAACAACTTTCTACAACTTGATTTGTAGTCCACCTGTGGTAAATTCAATTGATTGGACATGATTTGGAAAGGCACACACCTGTCTTTATAAGGTCCCGCAGTTGACAGTGCATGTCAGAGTAAAAACCAAGCCATGAGGTCGAAGGAATTGTCCGTAGATTGTGTCAACGCACAGATCTGGGGAAGGGTACCAAAACATGTATGCAGCATTGCATGTCCCCAAGAACACAGTGGCCTCCATCATTCTTAAATGGAAGACGTTTGGAACCACCAAGACTCTTCCTAGAGCTGGCCGCCCGGCCAAACTGAGCAATCGGGGGAGAAGGGCCTTGGTCAGGGAGGTGACCAAGAACCCGGACCCACTCTGACAGAGCTCTAGAGTTCCTCTGTGGAGATGGGAGAACCTTCCAGAAGGACAACCATCTCTGCAGCACTCCACCAATCAGGCTTTTCTGGTAGAGTTGCCAGACGGAAGCCACTCCTCAGTAAAAGGCACATGACAGCCCACTTGGAGTTTTCCAAAAGGCACCTAAAGGACTCTGACCATGAGAAATAAGATTCTCTGGTCTGATGAAACCAAGATTGAACTCTTTGGCCTGAATGCCAAGCGTCACATCTGTAGGAAACCAGGCACCGCTCATCACCTGGCCAATACTATCCCTACGGTGAAGCATGGTGGCAGCATCATGCTGTGGGGATGTTTTTCAGTTGCAGGTACTGGGAGACTAGTCAGGATCGAGGGAAAGATGAACGGAGCAAAGTACAGAGAGATCCTTGATGAAAACCTGCTCCCCATCCAACCTGACAGAGCTTGAGGAGGATCTGCAGAGAAGAATGGGAGAAACTCCCCAAATACAGGTGTGCCAAGATTGTAGCGTCATACCCAAGAAGACTCAAGGCTGTAATCGCACCCAAAGGTGCTTCAAGAAAGTACTGAGTAAAGGGTCTGAATACTTATGTAAATGTGTATTTCAATTTTTATTTGTTATACATTTGCCAACATTTCTAAACCTGTTTTTGCTTTGTCATTATTGGGTATTGTTTGTGGATTGATGAGGAAAAAATACAATTTAATCAATTGTAGGATAAGGCTATAACGTAACAAAATGTGGAAAAAGTAGAGGGGTCTGAATACTTTCCGAATGCACTGTATGCATGACTTTACATGATGACGGGATTTTTTTGTCGTAGCCATGGGCCCCTCTTTTGTGGAATCAGGCTGCCAGCAGCAGAGTGCTGGGCCCGGGCCAAAACAGGCCAGACTGCAGAGTACAGTGAGAGGAAGCAATCATCCTCTCTCTCTGTTTGTTCTTTTCTTTCTCTCTTTCTCGCTCTCGCTCGCTCTCTCGCTCGTGCTCGCTCTCTCGCTCTCCTTTTCCTGTCACATGTCCTGGCGCCTACAGACACAGCACCACATCACGCTCTATACACGACGGTAGACTCATAGGCCTACACTTGTAATGTTTAACACTAATACAGTAATGTTGCTAATGCATAACTCATTCTGGGGGATGGTGTCGCTCAGTCAGAGCAGAGTTTTCGCTAAGCCCTCTTTTCACACTTTCTATCCTGTTGGCTCTATTATTTCTCTACTGGTCCTCTCTCACTTTCTTTCCCTTCCTCTCTCCGGTCGTCTCAAGCTTTCTCCCTCTAACCTGTCTCTCTATCTAGCTAGTGCAGCTGAGGCTATGGTGTTGTGTGTGGCACTGTGTGTGTGTTTCAGTGTGATTGGAACTTCAGAACCATTTGTATTTATGTTTTACCACTCCAGACAATGGGAGCACTTGCCTCAATGTCAAGGGTCTGATTCAAGCAAGGGCCTTTTGTTGCAGGGTGTGTCCCAAATGGCATCCTATTCCCTATGTTGTGCACTACTTTTGACCAGGGCCCATGGGGACTATGATCAAAAGTAATGCGTTATTTAGGAAGTGGGGTGCCATTTGGGACAGAGCCAAGTACAGACCGCTCCCATTGTATTACATGAGCTACATCACTCTAGTGGTAGTCTCATCTGCAGCTACCAGAAATACAATGCAACAGTATTGACTTGTATGAGAGGTCGAGTAATAAAAGGAGAATTCCTACAAATTCTTACCAAAAGTGAATCTTTATTGTGAACTGTATAAAGAACACAACGTGTCACTGTCAACCGTATGATTGAAGCTGCAATGAGACACGACTAGTATAGATAGTCTATAGATACTTTTGTATATATATATTGTATATTGTGGTCCTCTGTAGCTCAGCTGGTAGAGCACGGCGCTTGTAACGCCAAGGTAGTGGGTTCGATCCCCGGGACCACCCATACACAAAAAATGTATGCACGCGTGACTGTAAGTCGCTTTGGATAAAAGCGTCTGCTAAATGGCATATTATATTATTATATTATATATTAGCATGTGGACACCCCTTCAAATTAGTGGATTTGGCTATTTCAGCCACACCCGTTGCTGACAGGTGTATCAAATCGAGCACACAGCCATGCAATCTCCATAGACAAACATGAGCAGTAGAATGGCCTTACTGAAGAGCTCAGTGACTTTCAACGTGGGGCACCTTTCCAACAAGTCAGTTTGTCAAATGTCTCCCCTTCTAGAGCTGCCCCGGTCAACTGTAAGTGCTGTTATTGTGAAGTGGAAACTTGTAGGAGCAACAATGGCTCAGCCGCGAAGTGGTAGGCCACACAAGCTCACAGAACGGGACAGCCGAGTGCTGAAGCACGTAGCGCGTAAAAATCGTCTGTCCTCGTTTGTGACACTCACTACCAAGTCCCAAACTGCCTCTGGAAACAACGTCAGCACAATAACTGTTAGTCGGGAGCTTCATTATATGGTTTTCCATGGCTGAGCAGCCGCACACAAGCCTAACATCACCATGTGCAATGCCAAGCGTCGGCTGGAGTGGTGTAAAGCTCGTCGCCATTGGACTTTGGAGCAGTGGAAACGTGTTCTCTGGAGTGATGAATCACGCTTCACCGTCTGGCAGTCCGACAGACGAATCTGGGTTTGGCGGACGCCAGGAGAGCGCTACCTGCCCAAATGCATATTGCCAACTGTAGGAGTTGGTGTAGGAGGAATAATGGTCGGTGGTTGTTTTTCATGATTCGGGCTAGGCCCCTTAGTTACAGTGAAGGGAAATCTTAACGCTACAGCATACAATGACATTCTAGACGATTCTGTGCTTCCAACTTTGTGGCAACAATTTGGGGAAGGCCCTTTCCTGTTTCAGCATGACAATGATCCCGTGCACAAAGCGAGGCCCATACAGAAATGGTTTGTCGAGATCTGTGTGGAAGAACTTGACTGGCCTGCACAGAGCCCTGACCTCAACCCCATCGAACACCTTTGGTATGAATTGGAACGCCGACTGCGAGCCAGGCCTAATCGCCCAACCTCACTAAGGCTCTTGTGGCTGAATGGAATCAAGTCCCCGCAGCAATGTTCCAACATCTAGTGGAATGCCTTCCCAGAAGAGTGGAGGCTGTTATAGCAGCAAAGGTAGGTGGGACCAACTCCATATTAATGCCCATGATTTTCGAATGAGATGTTTGACGAGCAGGTGTCCACATACTTTTGGTCATGTAGTGTTGGTGCTCGTTCTATAATTAAGCAATAAGGCCAGAGGGGGTGTGGTATATGGCCAATGTACCACGGCTAAGGGCTGTTCTTATGCATGATGCAACGCAGAGTGCCTGGATACATCCCTTAGCCTTGGTATATTGGCCATATTACTATTATAAACTGGTTACCAACGAAATTAGAGCAGTAAAAATACATTTTGTCATAATCTCGGTATACGGTCTGATATACCACAGCTGTCAGCCAATCAGCATTCAGGGCTTGAACCACCTAGTTTATAATATATACTGAACAAAAATATAAACGCTAAAAATAAAGACTTCCATTGAAACCAGTATGCTATTTCTCTCATGTTCTATTGGTTTGTCCAATAGGCAAAGGCACAATCCTAGTCATATTAGCAACCCATGCTATACGGATGACAAATACACTGCTCAAAAAAATAAAGGGAACACTAAAATAACACATCCTAGATCTGAATGAATGAAATAATCTTATTAAATACTTTTTTCTTTACATAGTTGAATGTGCTGACAACAAAATCACACAAAAATTATCAATGGAAATCAAATGTATCAACCCATGGAGGTCTGGATTTGGAGTCACACTCAAAATTAAAGTGGAAAACCACACTACAGGCTGATCCAACTTTGATGTAATGTTCTTAAAACAAGTCAAAATGAGGCTCAGTAGTGTGTGTGGCCTCCACGTGCCTGTATGACCTCCCTACAACGCCTGGGCATGCTCCTGATGAGGTGGCGGATGGTCTCCTGAGGGATCTCCTCCCAGACCTGGACTAAAGCATCCGCCAACTCCTGGACAGTCTGTGGTGCAATGTGGCGTTGGTGGATGGAGCGAGACATGATGTCCCAGATGTGCTCAATTGGATTCAGGTCTGGGGAACGGGCGGGCCAGTCCATAGCATCAATGCCTTCCTCTTGCAGGAACTGCTGACACACTCCAGCCACATGAGGTCTAGCATTGTCTTGCATTAGGAGGAACCCAGCCAGGGCCAACCGCACCAGCATATGGTCTCACAAGGGGTCTGAGGATCTCATCTCGGTACCGAATGGCAGTCAGGCTACCTCTGGCGAGCACATGGAGGGCTGTGCGGCCCCCCAAAGAAATGCCACCCCACACCATGACTGACCCATGGATGTTGCAGGCAGCAGAACGTTCTCCACGGCGTCTCCAGACTGTCACGTCTGTCACATGTGCTCAGTGTGAACCTGCTTTCATCTGTGAAGGGCACAGGGCGCCAGTGGCGAATTTGCCAATCTTGGTGTTCTCTGTCAAATGCCAAACGTCCTGCACGGTGTTGGGCTTTAAGCGCAACCCCCACCTGTGGACGTCGGGCCCTCATACCACCCTCATGGAGTCTGTTTCTGACCGTTTGAGCAGACACATGCACATTTGTGGCCTGCTGGAGGTCATTTTGCAGGGCTCTGGCAGTGCTCCTCCTGCTCCTCCTTGCACAAAGGTGGAGGTAGCAGTCCTGCTGCTGGGTTGTTGCCCTCCTACGGCCTCCTCCACGTCTCCTGATGTACTGGCCTGTCTCCTGGTAGCGCTTCCATGCTCTGGACACTACGCTGACAGACACAGCAAACCTTCTTGCCACAGCTCGCATTGATGTGCCATCCTGGATGAGCTGCACTACCTGAGCCACTTGTGTGGGTTGTAGACTCCGTCTCATGCTACCACTAGAGTGAAAGCACCACCAGCATTCAAAAGTGACCAAAACATCAGCCAGGAAGCATAGGAACTGAGAAGTGGTCTGTGGTCACCACCTGCACAACCTGTTGTTGTCTATTCCATTTGCATGTGAAATTTATTGTCAATCAGTGTTGCTTCCTAAGTGGACAGTTTGATTTCACAGAAGTGTGATTGACTTCGAGTTACATTGAGCAGTGTATAAACGCAACATGTAAAGTGTTGGTCCCATGTTTCAGAAGCTGAAATAAAAGATCACAGCAATGTTCCATACGCACAGAAAGCGTATTCCTTAAATTTTGTGCACGGTGAGCATTTCAACTTTGCCAGGACAATCCATCCACCAGACAGGTGTGGCATATCAAGAAGCTCATTAAACAGCATGATCAATACACAGGTGCACCTTGTGCTGGGGACAATACAAGGCCACTCTAAAATGTGCTGTTTTGTCACAACACAATGCCACAGTTGTCTGAAGTTTTGAGGGCGCGGGCAATTGACATGCTAACTGCAGGAATGTCCACCAGAGCTGTTGCCAGAGAACTGAATGTTCATTTCTCTACCATACGCTGCCTCCAACGTCATTTTAGAGAATTTGGCAGTACGTTCAACTGGCCTCACAACCGCAGACCATGTACAGCAGGGCTCCCGAGTGGCGCAGCAGTCTAAGGCACTGCATCTCAGTGCTTGAGGCGTCACTACAGACCCCTGGTTCGATTCCAGGCTGTATCACAACCGGACGTGATTGGGAGTCCCATAGGGCGGCGCACAATTGGCCCAGCGTCGTCCGGGTTTGGCCGTTGTAGGCCGTCATTGTAAATAAGAATTTGTTCTTAACTGACTTGCCTAGTTAAATAAAGGTATAATTAAATAAATAAAAAATAACCACGCCAGCCCAGGACCTCCACTTCAGGCTTCTTCACCTGCGGGATCATATGAGACCAGCCACCTGGACAGCTGATGAAACTGAGGAGTATTTCTGTCTGTAATAAAGCCCTTTTGTGTGGAAAAACTCATTCTGATTGGCTGGGCCTGGCTCCCCTGCCCAGTCATGTGAAATCCATAGATTAGGGCCTATTGAATTTATTTCAATTGACTGATTTCCTTATTTGAACTGTAACTCAGTAAAATGGTTGAAATTGTTGCATGTTGCATTTATATTTTTGTTCAATATAAAATAATATATGCCATTTAGCAGACGCTTTTATCCAAGGGATCTTACAATCATACATGTATAGATTTCCGTGTGGGCGGTCCCACATTGAACTAACATTCTTAACTTTTTCTCTATGAGAACACATCCCGACAGCATAATCAAATTATAGCAGTAGAATGGAAGTGTGAAGGGAATCCATTGAACAGTCTTGTGCCTGTCTGTGCTCTGTGGTGGTGCTGAGATGTACGGCTCTCTTGGGGGGAGGGGAAGGGGGGAACATCTCAGGAGACAGTGGCGGTTCTGCCACAAGTAAAAAATAACTCCCCGGGCTCAGCCAATAGGATGCTCTGGCCTCGTTGCTCTCTTCTCCCATGTGTGCTAGCCGAGCGTAGATGGCGGTCATGTATTCCCCATGGTGGCAGCAGCAAAGAGACAGAGATGGAGAGATGCTGGTGTATTTACCACTAGAGTTGATTAAAAAAGAAAGTCTCCATCTCTCCACCCTATGAACTCATGAGTCTTCCTTTTTTACAAGGAGCATGTGTGCGCCTAAGTTGAAAAATGTTGGCGCACAAAAATAAATTTAGGGGCACTATAACAAATATTTGAGATATTAAATATAGAATCCTTAATTTTCCTAAGCGCACTGGTGCTCGTAAATAGAAATTCCAGGTGTCACAGCAAAATATTTAGGTGCGTATACGAGTAAAATGGACGCGCACTATAGAGCAATGTTCCTAAAAAAAGAAAAATAGGCACTGAGCAAAATGTCAGGTCTGCTGAGCGCAAACTTGAACATTGTGAAAATTCTATGCAACTTCCGCAGAGCGTTTACTGTGAACACTGAGGCTGTACACGCTTTAAGTTAGTTTTAACAGTGATCAAGTAGGCTACGGTGGCTATCTGATCATAATGTAGGCCTACCAGAGTGGCCTACCATCAAAAACAATGGAGAAAATGCATCCCATAACATTTTAACATGGAAATAGCTGTTCTATCATTCAGTCTACAGTAACAGCCAATGTGTGGTGTTCAATGTAGGCCTACATTCCATGAGACCTAAGAAAAAAACATGCAGGGCTTGACATTAGGGCTGTGGCGGTCATGACATTTTGTCAGCCGGTGATTGTCAATCAAATAACTGCTGGTCTCACTGTAATTGACCGTTAATTAACATAAACACATTTAGCATCTTCTGGCTTCCACGCATAGCCTACAAGCCACTGATAGAGACCTTTGGAACATCTACATTTTAGTCTAAATCCATGTAATATAGCCTCACAATAAATCCATTATTTATTTTAGACCGGTCTTAATTTCATTTCATTTACATTTCATTTACGTCATTTAGCAGACGCTCTTATCCAGAGCGACTTACAGTTAGTGAATACATTTTTTTTTTTTTTTTTTTTTTTTATACTGGCCCCCCGTGGGAATCGAACCCACAACCCTGGCGTTGCAAACGCCATGCTCTATCAACTGAGCTACATCCCTGCCGGCCATTCCCTCCCCTACCCTGGACGACGCTGGGCCAATTGTGCGCCGCCCATGAGTCTCCCGGTCGCGGCCGGCTGCGACAGAGCCTGGATTCGAACCAGGATCTCTAGTAGCACAGTTAGCACTGCGATGCAGTGCCTTAAATGAAAGAAAAAAACAGAATAGTGTACTCTGAGTTGTCCTTATGTTAGGCCCTGATCTGGCTATGCCATATGGCTGTGGGCTGCACTAGTTCATTTAGCAGACAAGATTTGCTTAGAATTCCGTGGCTTTATTTTATAGTATGAAGAATACCATTGAACATAGCTGAATAAAATAGAAAGGATATTTTCTCCAAAGGATTTGAGGGAGTGCGCACATGCGGCTATTCTGTGTTGAGCGGTTAACAAAGAAACATGTACTCCTATATGCTTAATTTAGAGTTAGTTATGTAACATTAGATGTGATACTAATGTTGGGCTATACAGTGGAGGAAAAAAGTATTTAGTCAGCCACCAATTGTGCAAGTTCTCCCACTTAAAAAGATGAGAGGCCTGTAATTTTCATCATAGGTACACGTCAACTATGACAGACAAATTGAGGAAAAAATTTTTCCAGAAAATCACATTGTAGGATTTTTAATGAATTTATTTGCAAATTATGGTGGAAAATAAGTATTTGGTCACCTACAAACAAGCAAGATTTCTGGCTCTCACAGACCTGTAACTTCTTCTTTAAGAGGCTCCTCTGTCCTCCACTCGTTACCTGTATTAATGGCACCTGTTTGAACTTGTTATCAGTATAAAAGACACCTGTCCACAACCTCAAACAGTCACACTCCAAACTCCACTATAGCCAAGACCAAAGAGCTGTCAAAGGACACCAGAAAGAAAATTGTAGACCTGCACCAGGTTGGGAAGACTGAATCTGCAATAGGTAAGCAGCTTGGTTTGAAGAAATCAACTATGGGAGCAATTATTAGGAAATGGAAGACATACAAGACCACTGATAATCTCCCTCGATCTGGGGCTCCACGCAAGATCTCACCCCGTGGGGTCAAAATGATCACATGAACGGTGAGCAAAAATCCCTGAACCACACGGGGGGACCTAGTGAATGACCTGCAGAGAGCTGGGACCAAAGTAACAAAGCCTACCATCAGTAACACACTACGCCGCCAGGGACTCAAATCCTGCAGTGCCAGACGTGTCCCCCTGCTTAAGCCAGTACATGTCCAGGCCCGTCTGAAGTTTGCTAGAGTGCATTTGGATGATCCAGAAGAGGATTGGGAGAATGTCATATGGTCAGATGAAACCAAAATATAACTTTTTGGTAAAAACTCAACTCGTCGTGTTTGGAGGACAAAGAATGCTGAGTTGCATCCAAAGAACACCATACCTACTGTGAAGCATGGGGGTGGAAACATCATGCTTTGGGGCTGTTTTTCTGCAAAGGGACCAGGATGACTGATCCGTGTAAAGGAAAGAATGAATGGGGCCATGTATCGTGAGATTTTGAGTGAAAACCTCCTTCCATCAGCAAGGGCATTGAAGATGAAACGTGGCTGGGTCTTTCAGCATGACGATGATCCCAAACACACCGCCCGGGCAACGAAGGAGTGGCTTCGTAAGAAGCATTTCAAGGTCCTGGAGTGGCCTAGCCAGTCTCCAGATCTCAACCTCATAGAAAATCTTTGGAGGGAGTTGAAAGTCCGTGTTGCCCAGCGACAGCCCCAAAACATCACTGCTCTAGAGGAGATCTGCATGGAGGAATGGGCAAAAATACCAGCAACAGTGTGTGAAAACCTTGTGAAGACTTACAGAAAACGTTTGACCTGTGTCATTGCCAACAAAGGGTATATAACAAAGTATTGAGAAACTTTTGTTATTGACCAAATACTTATTTTCCACCATAATTTGCAAATAAATTCATAACAAATCCTACAATGTGATTTTCTGGAGAAAAAAAATCTCATTTTGTCTATCATAGTTGACGTGTACCTATGATGAAAATTACAGGCCTCTCATCTTATTAAGTGGGAGAACTTGCACAATTGGTGGCTGACTAAATACTTTTTTTCCCCCACTGTATGTATCTTCTTCTCCCAATTTGATATCCAATTGGTAGTTACGGTCTTGTCCCATCGCTGCAACTCCCATACGGACTCGGGAGAGGCGAAGGTCGAGAGCCATGCGTCCTCCGAAACATGACCACGCCAAGCCACACTGCTTCTTGACACACTGCTCGCTAAACCTGGAAGCCAAGCCGCACCAATATGTCGGAGTAAACAACGTACAGCTGGGGACCGAAGTCAGCGTGCATGCGCCTGGCCCTCCACGAGTCGCTAGAGCGCGATGGGACAAGGACACTGCGATGCAGTGCCTTAGAACGCTGCGCCACTCGGGAGGCCCCTATACGTTAAATGTTTTAATACATTCTAAGGCTGCATGATGCAACTCTAATGTTGATTTGAAAAAAAGTTCCATTAAAGGCATGAGCTCTGCTTTGTTTTTTACGCAGCCTGTACACGCTTCATCAGTCTCTCATTCACAATTTGACGAGCACTTGATAATGCCTCGAATTTCCTGGCTGCGTCCCCTTTGTGTGGCAGTAATGCCCCCCAAAAAAATCCATGCCTTTTGCGGCCAGTGGCCGGTGTGTCCTTGGGCTGAATATAATAATTATAATTCACTTCTCCCGGCTGCCTGCCGAAGCACCTCTCACTCACATGGCTCTCCGTCACGTGATCAGTTTTTTCTCACAGGCTACAAGTGAAGACAGACACACTTAAATAGCAAATGGAGGACGCTTTTCCCATGGTTCATTTTCATGCAAGCCAGGTAGGCATTACTCCTGTTGTAAAGAGAAGCAATGTGCTTAATATAAGGAAAGTTGAAAAATAAATATAGGCTAGGCCTATAGAAAGCTGAAGGATCCTCTTTTTAATAGAGGCCATCACTCTGTTTTCTCACGCAATTGCGTAGCCTATAGAATTGTTGCGCAACATGAGCTCATCGGCTCTCATTAAGTGTTTGATTAGATTTTCGATTACTTTTGCATCGATTTCAGAGTGATTAGAGGGACCAGGCAGTTAGCAAATTTGTTAGGCTACTAATGACCATCAGCAGCATCAGAGCTTGGAGAAGTCTAAATACTGTGATCACATGTAATTTGACTGCCGTCATGACTCGTGACCGCCGGTATGGCGGTAATACGGTCACCGTAACAGTCCTATTTGACATTAACCTGTTTATCCACTTGTCCTTCAGACAAGTAGGTGACGGAAAATGTTGTTGTGGTGTTTGATGCAAGAAACCACTTTACAAAATAAAATGCATAATTATTCCCATACCATTATTACAGAGAATCAGACAAATCATGATACACTCTGCCTATTGGCTACTTAGCTTATTCAAGCCTGTCTCAAAATACAACACTGCCCCTTTAAGATGAAAAAAGGTTATTTGCCTGACTCACTTAGATGGCTAGAAATGCACATGTTTTAATGATATTTAACTGGGCTAATAACTCACTAACTAGCAAAGGATATGAACAAATGTGCACACATGGCTACATGCAGCTCTCAATTAATCTCAAAACAAGTGCATCTACTCATGACACTCATGCTGTAAACACAGTCCAGTGAATGGCACATATCCATATATGGCAATGGTCTATTTGCATATAGGTCTACTGCAGCTCTGATTGGTTATGGTGCACCGGTCTGTGTAGAGTACGGGCCTGAGTCGTGCCTGTCAATGCGATGGAATCCTACTTAGATGAGTTCTGCCTACAACAAAATCTCTTGCGTAGTTCGTTTTGTTTCGGTATGTTTAATTGAAAGTGGCTAATGCGTTGATTCGATCACAAATCCCACAGTAAAGGGAAAAGTTGATAGTGTTAACTAAGGTGGAAAACTCCAGAAAGTTGAGTGAAGTTCAAAGCAGCAATGCAAAGCCTAAGACTTTCATTGCAGGCCAAACTAAGTG